CCATCCATGTTGCTACACATGGCCAGATTTCATTCTATCTCATTGCCATGTAGTATTCCATCGTATAGATAAACCACATCTTCCAGATCCATTTATCAGTTGATGGACACTTAGGCTCTTTCCATATTTTGGCTATTGTTGAGAGTGCTACTATGGACATTGGGGTACATGTGCCCCTATGCATCAGCATTCCTGTATCCCTTGGGTAAATTCCTAGCAGTGCTATTGCTGGGTCATAGGGGAGTTCTATTGTTAGTTTCCTGAGGAACCTCCACACTGTTTTCCAGAGGGGCTGCACCAGTTTACATTCCCACCAACAGTGTAGGAGGGTGCCCGTTTCTCCACATCCTCGCCAGCATCTAGAGTTCTCTGATTTGCTCATTTTAGCAACTCTGACTGGCGTGAGGTGGTATCTCAGTGTGGTTTTGATTTGTATTTCCCTGATGAGGAGGGATGCTGAGCATCGTTTCATGTGTCTGTTGCCCATCTGATGACTTCTTTGGAGAAGTGTCTGTTCATGTCTTCTGCCCATTTCTTCACTGGGTTATTAGTTTTTCGGGTGAGCTTCTTATAGATTTTGGATACTAGCCCTTTATCTGATATGTCATTTGCAACTATCTTTTCCCATTCCGTCAGTTGCCTATTAGTTTTATTGATTGTTTCCTTTGCCATGCAGAAGCTTTTAATCTTGATGAGGTCCCAGTAGTTCATTTTTGCTCTTGATTCCCTTGCCTTTAAGGGATGTGTCAAGTAAGAAATTGCTGTGGTTGAGTTCAAGGAGGTTTTTTTCCTGCTTTCTCTTCTAGGGTTTTAATGGTTTTCTGTCTCACATTCAGGTCCTTTAACTATTTTGAGTTTGTTTGTGTATGGTGTGAGAAATGATCTAGTTTCATTCTTCTGCATGCTTTGTCCAGTTCTAGTCCCACCTGTTAAAGAGGCTGTCCTTTTTACATTGGATACTCTCCTGCTTTGTCAAAGATTAGTTGGCTGTATACTTTTGGGTCCACTTCTGAGTTCTCAATTCTGTTCCATTGGTCTATGTGTCTGTTTTTGTGCCAATAACCACAGTGTCTTGATGATTACAGCTTTGTAATAGAGGCTAAAGTCTGGGATGGTGATGCCACCCGTTTTGCTTTTCTTCTTCAATATTACTTTGGCTATTCAGGGTCTTTTGTGGCTCCATACAAATTTTAGGATAGTTTGTTCTAGTTTTGAGAAGAATGCTGTGCAATTTTGATTGGGATTGCAAAGTTTAGATTGCTTTGGGTAGTAATGACATTTTAACTATATTTATTCTTCCAATCCATGAGCATGGGATGTTTTCCCATGTCTTTGTGTCTTCTTCAGTTTCCTTCATAAATATTCTATAGTTTTCATCATACAGATCTCTTATATCTTTGGTTAGCTTTATTCCTAGGTATTTTATGGGTGTGTGTGTGTGTGTGTGTGTGCGCGCGCGCAATTGTGAATGGGATCCGTTTCTTGATTTCTCTTTCTGTTGCTTCATTGTTGATGTATAAAAATGCAACTGATTTCTGTACATTGATTTTGTACCCTGCAACTTTGCTGAATTCATGGATCAGTTCTAGTAGGTGGAGTTTGTCCGGTTTTCTATGTAGAATATCATGTCTTCTGCGAAAAGTGAAAGTTTGACTTCTTTGTTGCCAATTCTGATGCCTTTTATTTCCTTTTGTAGTCTGATTGTTGATGGTAGGACTTCCAGCACTGTGTTAAACAAAATAATAGTTTTATACATAAAAGTAATGGCCCAGACCATCCATTATTGCAGCATCTTATCTTTGCAGTAAAATTTATGTTCTTACATCTCAACATATAAAGTATATGATTTTCTACCCTCAATTATGTGTATAGTATTTGCAATTGCATATTGAGATATTAACAGCTAATCCAAATAACCTCTTGTTTTGTTACACTGATTACATATGGTGGTTACCAAAGTGATCACTTGATCATGTACAAGTCCAAGGGCACCAGAAATGCCACTGAAGTGAGTGTTTTATTAATTGGACTTTCAAAGGCTGAGGCCAGAGTTGAAGTCAAAGAGGAGATCTTGGCTGACTAATGACATTGAAACCACACTTTGGGGCTTTTCTCCCTCTTCTGAAAAATTTAAGTCTTCATGTAGTGTTTAGAATTCTTCTGGATACAGTGCCACTTTCATAAATAAAATAAATAGCAATAAATAGGAATTATCATTCCATATGCTAAATGTAGGGTTTTCACATTATGTCTTTTATTATTTATTGTCTAATGTGTGCTCATTTTTATATTTGGTACACTGCCTGGCAGTCTGTCTTCAGCTCATTTTATCTGGATATTCTTCATATATTCCATTAGGGGACAGTGCTTGCATACCCAAGCTTAGTTGGACTTTCTAACTTTTTTCTACTAGAAGAAAAGACACTAAGAGCACTTCTGCCTTTAAAGACTCCTCATTCCAGTCCATTAAAACTGAGTGTTGTTGGGGGAAAATCCACAGAGTGATTTGTCAGCAATTCAGATTGTCATCAATTGTGGTAGTTCTGCCTTACCTGCTTGAGCTGTGGCATGAGCTCTGTGCAGAGAGAATGATATAAAATTTTTTTAATGTTTATTTAAGTTTGAGAGAAAAAGAGAGAGAGGTGTTGGGGGGCACTAACAGGTGAAGAGCAGAGAGAGAGGAAGACACAGAATCTGAAGCAGGCTTCATGCTATCAGCTCAAAGTCCATTGTGGGGCTGGAACCTACCAACCATGAGATTACCACCTGATCCGATGTTGGATGCTGCACAACTGAGCCAACCAGCACCCTAAGAATAAATTTTTTTAGGCCTGTGTTAGACTATGTTTTCCTTAGACCATTAGCTTTGACTCCAAGTTTCAAATAATTACTTAACTAATTAATAATAAAACACTTAAGAAACCCCTTCATCCCCAAACTAGACTATTACTATAGTACAGTAACATAGTAGCATGCTCTCCACTTGTCTCATCCCTCTGCCTCTGAATCAGAGGTCGTCACCTGATCCTTGTGGTTTTCATTACACACGTATGTATTGATGCCTAAACAACATAATGTTCCATTTTCCTTGAGTTTGAATATATTTTGATTAAACATTGTTTCTTTTTTTAAAAAATAGTTTGTCAAGTTGTTTTCCATATAACACCCAGTGCTCATCCCAACAAGTGCCCTCCTTCATGCCCATCACCCCCCTTCTCCTCTTTCCCACCCATCAGCCCTCAGTTTGTTCTCAGCATTCAAGAGTCTCTCATGGACTCAACATTGTTTCTAAGAATCACCATATTGTAACATGTGCTATAGTTTGTTCATATGCAACTGATGAATATTATTTCATTGTATACATTGGTTACAGCTTATGCACCCATTCTTCTGTCCATTGGGTTGACTGCTTGGATTTTTTTCCCTGTGTTTTTGCTGTTATAAACAGTCTGCTGTGAACATTCTTGTATATGTCTCCAGAGACATGTAAGAATTTCTTTCAGAATTTTTGGGTTGAGGTTAAGTGGATGTTTAACTTTATAAGATGATGCCAGATTGTTTTCTCAAGTGATTATACCATTTTATGCCCATCCTCTGGTAGTGTATAAACGATCCTATTTATGTACCTTCTTCGTAACACTTGGTTCCATCAGAATTATTAATTGCTGCCAATTGAATAGTATAAAGTGGTATCTCATTGCAGTCATGATTTGCATTTCCCTGACTATTAGTGACCAGTTAATTTTACAACAATTAAAATTTTGGAACTTTTATGCTTTATTCCAGTCCTAGTTTAGATTCACCTATGCAAATCTGCTTATATAATCCTTTGTACACTTTTCTCCACATTCTTCTCCCATAACCACCGACCTTTCTTCATATTACCTACCTTGCCTCAAGATGCCCCTTATATCAAACCATACCCTTTCTTCTTTAATAAACCCAATTCCCAACTAGCTTTTTTTCCATGAAAATCTGTCCTTGTGATCATAAATGAACTTAGGTTATTTTATTTAACCACTGAATCCTGATGGGCTTCTCATAGACCACTGCCTAAGTATAAACTGGTGCAAGGCATTTGGCGACATATATTAAGAACCTTAAACACTCTACACTTTGACCTTGTCTAAAAATCTTTCCTAAACCTTGATTTTATGTTTGGTTGTTTCTGATGGTCAGATACTTAGAAGACCACCGATTTATTTGCGTGGGGACAGGGGAACAAGAACAACTGAGAAAATCTTGCATATATGCCCCTGAGTGGAGAGCAGGGAGACATAGAGAAGACAGTGTAGTCTGTGCTCCTCAGCTCAGACCTGGGCATAGGATTGAGAACCCTGAACAGAGAGTAGCTGCAGGCAGAAGTTAAAACCCTTGTAGAAGGAACGATGAAATCGAAGGGCACAAGGCAGTGGGAGGAGATGACCATGTATCACATTTCGATATCAAGCCCCAACTTGGAGGTAGGAGGAAACCTTGATTGATTGTTTCATCCAGCAGTGTCCTGGAGATACTCAGTGGAGACTCTGGTGTGGGTAGAGTCAGGGTACAGTGGTTGTCACCTTATTCCAAAACATGTGAGAGACTCTTCTTGAGATTCTAAAATATGCTTGGGGAGCATTTATAGGTGGCTGAAGTCTGTGTTGTCAGGAGAAAGTAAAAGACTAGGGGGAATTTGGGTTATGTGGTTAATATGATCTCATTTATAGCTGAGTTTTATTGTGTCCCTGGAACATGAAACACATGTTTGCATGAGAAACATCAAAAAGGTAGAGAAAAGGTGTATGCCTAAAAAATGTTCACTGTAGTATTTGTTATAATTGTAAAAAAATGAAAAAACAGCCAGAATACTTAACAATGTTTTATTGCTATTATTAGTCGTCAAAAAGTATTTATAAAAATGGGTGTCTGGGTGGCTCAGTTGGTTAAGCATTTGACTCTTGGTTTCTCCTAGGTAATGATCTTATGGTTCATGAGTTCAAGCCTCGCATTGGGCTCCATGCTGCAGAGCCTGCTTGGGATTCTCTCTGTCTCTCTTTCTGCCCCTCCCATTCATGCTCTCTCTCACTCTCTCTCTCCCCCTCAAAAATAAATTAATTAATTAAAAACTTTCAAAGAAAGTATTTATAGAGAGCTTGGGAAAATTCTTGTTATGATGTGAAATGAGAAAAATGTAAAATATCAACCATATCAAAAATATATGAGAAAGAAGATTGATACATACCAGATAGTGGTTATCCCTAGGTCCTGGGATTATGAGTGGTTTATATTTTCTTTGTCTTACATTTCTGCATTTTATAAATATTTGTCATGTTAGCATTATTTGAAAAATAATGGTATTAAAAATTATAAAAATATTAATATATATCTTTTCCCTTGGTGGGTATTAGTGTATGTATAAGGAGTCTTTTTTCTCCAGAAACAGCAGTGATTTCTTATTCCTTATGCCATGTTAATTGTCCAGAACACATAATTCGGTGGGACACATTTGAATGCTTCCACCTGAATTAACATTAATATTTAGAAGGAATCACAGGCTTCATATTTGGAAGGAAACAAGAGAGCTCACACTCTACCCACTGTTCAATTCCTTTCTACACTGTTTCTTTCAAGGGCTAGACTAGCCTCTGCTTAAATATTTATATGAGGGACAAATTACTGCTGCTGGAATTGGCTTGCTGGCTGTGAGAAAGTTCTTATTTATTTTGAAAGTCTGTTTCTTTGTAGTTTTCACACATTAGGTAGTTTGATCTCTCCCACCCCCATACCCCAAAGACAAGAAATCTAGTTAAATTTAATTATGTCTCTTCCACATGATATCCTTTTAGCTATTTGAAAACATTTCTTTGTTCCCTGCAAGTCTCCATTCATTCATTCATTCATTTGTTCAGTGGTTATTTATCGAATGCCCACTGTGTCCTGTGCACAGTGAAAGGAAAGCAGTTGAAAATACACACTCTCTGACTTCTAAATGTTCACAGTTTAGGGTCTCAGGTCAGATGCTAAAACTCTGAGATGTGCATGTGGGAGGTTTCCTGGGGAGTACCATTGGAAACAACATCTGGGGGAGGTGAGGGAAGAGTTGAGCTGCTAAATAGTTGCAACAAAGGACTCAGTTGCTCTTAAGGGGAGCTCTGGGGCTGGATGACTCTTATGAGCTATTTCATCATGAGGCAAGGTGGTAAGGCTTTTATACTCCCTATTATCCAGTCACTGGATAGGGATAAATTTCTTCTTGCAGTAAGTTGATGGACAGGGACTCATTAGGGAGCTGTCAACTAGCGCTCCCCTCGGCCTAAGAAATGGTATCTCTCCTATAGGAGGAGTCTGAGTGGTGCACCACGTAGAGTACAAGTGGAGAGATAGCAATTCCCCACAATAGAACATAATGAACCAATTATTTGAATAGCCCTGAGTACAAAGTGCGTGGACACCTAGACAACACGTAGGCCTTTCAGAGGAGCCAGGACAGGCTTCCCAGGAAGTCAAGGGTATGGATAGCAAGAAGAGTGCTTATGAGCAACCTTCAGGTGGTAGAATTGTTTGAGCTGGAGGTAAGGAGCAAGGAAATACCCAGGTTTCTGGTCTGGATCCCCTTGGTGAACGTTGTGCTATTTTCCAGAATAGAGAACCTGGGGGAAAGAGAATATGGCAATCTGCTCTGAAGAAGAAAAAATGGAAATGTGGGGAACAAAAGCAAGGATTGTGTAGTCTAGTTGTCATTTGTAGCCCTAGAACTTGATAAGCCAAACATTTCTTTCCCTCTAAGACTTGCTGTTTGGATTAAGAACTGATCGCATTAATATGCTTTCCCTCTTCTCTTACCTGCCTGCGGTGTGTTTTCACAGAGCTCCCACCAACGCTGACTCATTGGAGGTCTTCTTGGAAGTGTGCTGTCCTGAAGACAGGCCAGACAGCACATTGCCTGGGAATTTTGGAGTGATCACTAAAGGGTCAGGTGTTGGGATTCCTGAGGAAATTTGCCAGTGCATCCTGGCTGAGTTTCATCATCTCTCAGCAGAACTCATTGAGAAGAAGGAAGAGAACAATATGAAGAGGAAGAAGGAGCAGCCAAGGGAGCACCTCAGTGCCTGGGACTGCCCTCGTGGTCATTATCTCTCTCATATATTTTCTCTTTTTCACTGCATAGAAATGGCTCTGCTCACCTACTGTACTCTGAAGCAGTAAAGCTTTGTGGTTAATGACTCCTGATTTCTTGTGCCTTCATTTCTGCATCTATTAAAGTGGGAGTAATCATACTACTGAGTGCATAAGGTTGTTGGAAGGGACATATGGATAATCTGTGGAAACTGCTTCAAACTAATGCTTGGCATATAGTAGCAGCCAACATTAGTTCCTGCCTTTCCTGTTATACCTTTGTGCTAGCATGTCTTGAGGCAAGGTGCTTCTGCTGATTCAGGAGCTGAAATCTGTGATTACTTGCTGTCCCTGGATTTTTTTTTTTTTTTTTTAATCTTAACGCCCTATCTCATATAGACAAAAGCCTTTCCCCCAGGAAGTCTGAGATTAGTGGTATTTCCTCCCTCTTAAATTACTCACCTGTGCAATCTGCTGAGCCCACGTTGGGTTGGGATAGGAGAGGTTGGTTGCTAGTACATTAGAAAAGTGCTATCTTTTGTTTTTCTTATCTTCATAAATTCCTTTTGGCTTCCAGCTTCTTGGGATGGGCCTAGGTTAGTGAATCTCCCCCAGGGCTTTTTTTCTGATTTCCTTCAACCACATGATGGGGACTGAGCAGAAGACTTTCCACTGGAGTCTGAACTAGACTAGCTAAGAAATTATTCTTAGCTCTGAGCTCCATAGGTCTGAGCTCCATTCTGACTTAACTCTGTAAGGAACAACTTGAGTGGGAGAAACTCATAATGTTCTCATTTATGCTTTCTATAATGTTTCTTTCTTTGCCTTTGCTCTTATAACAATTGCTTGTACTACTCATGTGACATCGAGTAATACTCTTTCTTGTGACAGCTCTCTCTTTTTTTTTATTAAAAGTTTTACTGCTGTTTTGCTTTTCAGAGTCCAATGCTTTATCTCTCCTCTCCAATTTGTTTGGATGCTCCTTAGTGAAGTCTTTGTATATCTGAGAGTATTTTTCAGGATTTCATGTCCTTAGTATATCTTAGAAAAACATTTGATTTTTGTTCAATCCCATAGCTTGCCCTTGTCCTCAGTACTTTTTTTCCCTCTTTCCTATATAGGCCCAGTTGGTTTACACAACATTGGACAGACCTGCTGCCTTAACTCATTGATTCAGATATTAATTATGAATGTGGACTTCACCAAGATATTGAAGAGGTAAGATGATTATTCAGGCTAATAAGCAAGTATATTTTACATTTTCAAATATTCAGTTTTTCACAATGACTTGAACTTTTAAGTCGTCTTTTGAAAATTGCCAGAGAAAAGAACTTGTTCTGCACAATCTAGACTGCACACTATAATTACCTAAGATGATTAAAAAGAAATATAAATACCTGTACCCACCACCAGATACTTGGTTTCAGATGGTCTAGGGCAGGGCTTAGGCATTAGACTCCCCAGGTGACTTTAAAGTACAGCCAGGATTGACAGCCACTGATTTGGTTAAAACAGTGTTGGGACTAGACCAAATTCAGAGGAGAGGTAAATCAATGAGTAGGTCCTTGAGTCTCTCTATTAATCTCTCTCAGAACATACATACACACCAAGTGTATATATGTGTGTATATATATTTACACATGTATATACTTTATCACACATTCTTTTAAAAAATGTTTATTTACTAATTAATTAATTAATTTTGACAGAGAGAATAAACAGGATGGGGGGGGTGCAGGAGAGAGAGAATCCCAAGCAGTGTAGAGCCCAATGCGGGGCTCAAACTTACAAGATCATGACCTGAGCCAAAATCGAGTGTTGGGCACTTAACCAACTGAGCCACCCCAGGCCCCCTATAATTAGTTTTTTAGTAAGGTGTTCTCTTTTTCTTAGACTCTTTTTTTAAAAAATTTTTATTTATTTCTAGGAGAGAGAGAGAGAGCGTGAACAGGGGAGGGTCAGAGAGAGAGGGAGCCACAGACTGAAACAGGCTCCAGGCTCTGAGCTGGCAGTCAGCACAGAGCCCGACGCGGGGCTCAAACCCACGAACTGCGAGATCATGACCTAAGCGAAAGTCGGATGCTCAACCGACTAAGCCACCCAGGCGCCCCATCCTAGACTCTTTTTTTAAAGTTTTTATTTAAATTCTAGTTACTAACATTACAGTGTAATGTTAGTTTCAGGTATACAGTATAGTGATTCAACATTTCCATATGATACTCTGTGCTCATCACAAATCCCCATCACTTGTTTCATCCATTCCTCGCTCCCCACCTCCCATCCGTTAACCATCAGTTTGTTCTATATAGTTAAAAGTGTTTCTTAGTTTCCCCTCTCTTTCTTTTTTTCCCCTGTGATTGCTCATTTTGTTTGTTAAATACCACATATGAGTAAAATCATACGGTATTTATCTTTGACTGACTTATTTTTACTTAGCATAATTCTCTCTAGCTCCATCCATGTTGTTGCAAATGGCAAGATTTAATTGTTTTTTATGGCTGAGTAATATTCCATCCTGTATGTATACCGTATCTTATTTATCCATTCATCAGTCAGTGGACACTAGGTTGTTTTTATAGTTTAGCTATTGAGGTTAATTTTGCTATAAATATTGGGGTGTATGTGTCCCTTTTAATTAATATTTTTGTATCCTTTGGGTAAATACCTAGTAGGGCAATAGCTGGAATGTAGAGTAGTTCTTTTTTAACTTTTTGAGGAACCTTCACTGATTTCCACAGTAACTGTATCAGCTTGCTTCCTACCAATAGGAGGAGAGCTCCCCTTTCTCCACATCCTTGCCAGCACCTGTTGTGGTGTTGTTGTTGTTGTTGTTGATTTTAGCCCTTCTGACAGGTGTGAGGAGATATCTCATTGTAGTTTTCATTTGTATTTCCCTGATGATTAGTGATGTTGAGCATCTTTTCCCATGTGTCTGTTGGCCATATGGATGTCTTCTTTGGAAAAATGTCTCTTCATGTCTTCTGTCCATTTTTAAATTAGATTATTTGTTTTTTGGGTGCTGAATTTTATAAGTTCTTTATAGATTTTGGATTCTAATCCTTTATCAGATATGTCATTTGCAAATAGCTGTTCCCACTCCATAGAATGCCTTTTAGTTTTGTTGATTGTTTCCTTTGCTGTGTGGAAGCCTTTTATTTTGATGAAGCTCCAACGGTTTATTTTTGCTTTTGTTTCCTTTGCCTCAGGTAGACCTATAGTATGAGGTTGAATGGCTGATGTGAAAGAGGTTACTGCCTATGTTCTTCCCTAGGATTTTAATGGCTTCAGGTCTCACATTTACATCTTTATCATTTTGAATTTATTTTTGAGTATGATGTAAGAAAGTGGTCTAGTTTCACTCTTCTGCGTGTTGGTGTCGAGTATTCCCAACAGCATTTGTTGATGAGACTGTCTTTTTTCCACTGGATATTCTTTCCTGCTTTGTCAAAGATTAATTAGCCATATAGTTGTGGGGTTATTTTTGGGCTTTCTATTCTGTTCCACTTATCTATGTGTCCGTTTTCATGCTATTACCCTACTGTCTTAATCACTACAGCTTTGTAATATAAGTTGTAGTCCAGAATTGTGATGTCTCCAGCTTTGCTTTGCCTTTCCAAGGTTGCTTTGGCTATTCAGAGTCTTTTTGTAGTTACATGCAAATTTTAGGATTGTTTGTTCTTGCTCAACAGCAGTGAAAAATGCTGTTGGTATTTTGAAGGGATTGCATTAAATGTATATATTGCATCAGGAAAATTATAGACATTTTCACAATATTTGTTCTTCCAGTCCATGAACATGAAATATTTTTCCATTTCTTTGGTTCTCTTCAATTTCTTTTGTCAGTGTTGTATAGTTTTCACAATACAGGTCTTTCACCTCTTTGGTTAGGTTTATTCCGAGGTATCTTATGGTTTTGGTGAATTGTAAATGAGATTGAGTCCTTTATTTCTTTCTTTTTTTTAAGTTTACTTATTTATTTTGAAAAAGACAGAGACAGTGTGAGTGGGAGAGGGGCAGAGAGAGAGAGAGAGAGAGAGAGAGAAGGAATCCCAAACAGGCTCCATGCTATCAGCACAGAGCCTGATGTAGAGCTCAAACTCATGAGATCAAGACCTTAGCTGAAACCAGGAGTCAGACACTTACTCTACTGAGCCACCCAGGTGCCCCCATTTCTCTTTCTTCTGCTTTCTTATTGATGTATAGAAATGTTACAGATTTCTGGAGGTTGATTTTATATCCTGTGACTTTACTGAATTCGTGTATCAATTCTAGCAATTTTTTGGTGGAATTTTTAGGGTTTTCCATATAGAGTGTCATATCATCAGCAAATGGTGGAAGTTTGAATTCTCTCTTGCTAATTTGGATCCCTTTTATTCTTTGTGTTGTCTAATTGCTGTGGCTAGGACTTCTAGTACTACATTAACTACATTAAGTAACAGTGGTGAGAGTGGATATCCCTGTGTTGTTCCTGACCTCCTTCCTGACTGAGAGCTTTTCCTCATTGAGAATGATGCTAGCTGTGAGGTTTTCATACAGGGGCTTTATTATGTTGAATTATTCTTTGTCTATCCCTACTTTGTTGAGGGTTTTTTATCATGAATGGCTGTTGTACTTTGTCAAATGCTTTTTCTGCATCTATTGAGAGGATTGTATGGTTGTTATCCTTTCTTTTATTAATGTTATGTATCACAATAATTGATTTGTAATTATTGAACCACCCTTGCAACCCAGGCATAAATCCCACTTGATTCGGTTTGCTAGTATTTTATTGAGAATATTTGCATTCATGTTTATCAGGGTTAATAGCCTGTAGTTCACTCTTTTAGTGGTGTTTTGGTGTCAGGGTAATGCTGGCCTCATAGAATGAATTTAGAAGTTTTCCTTCTTTTTCTATTTTCTGGAATAGTTTGAGAAGAATAGGTATTAACTCTTCTTTAAATGTTTGTAGAATTCACTTATGAAGCCATCTGGTCCTGGATTTTTGTTTCTTGGGAGTTTTTTTTATTATTGATTCCAATTTCTTTACAGGTTATTGGTCTGGGGGGAGGAGAGAGAGAGAGAGAGAGAGAGAGAGAGAGAGAGAATCCCAATGCAGAGCCTAACACAGTTCTCCATCTCATGAACCATGAGATCATGAACTGAGCTGAAATCAAGAGTAGGATATTTAACCTACTTAGCCACCCAGGCATCCCCCTTCTTTGCCTTTTGTTACATTTCTGTTTTACAGTCCAGTTTATATGATACAAGTATTGCCACTTCAGCTTTCTTTTGACTTTCGTTTGCATGATACATGTTTCTCCATCTCACTTTCAATCTGTAGGTGTCTTTAGGTCTAATATGAGTCTCTTGTAGGTAGCATATAGATTGGTCTTGTTTGTTTTTTTTTAATCTATTTTGATACCTTAGGTCTTTTGATTGGGACATTTAGTCCCTTTACATTCAAAGTACTTATTGATAGGTATTATTTATTGCCATTTAACTACCTGTTTTGTCATTGTTTCTGGGAGATTTTTCTCTGATCTTTTCTTGTCTTTGTCACTTTGGCCTCTCCTTTCTACTCACAGAGTTCCCTTTAATATTTCTTGCAGGGCTGGATTAGTGGTCACAAACTACTTTAGTTCTTGTTTGTTGGGGAAACTCTTTATCTCTCCTTCTATTCTGAATGGTAAACGTGCTGGATAGAGTATTATTGACTGCAGATTTTCCCCATTTAGCACTTTGAATTTATCATGCCACTCCCTCTGACTTGCCAAGTTTCTGTTGAAAAATCTCCTGCTAGCATTATGGGTTTCCCCTTGTAAGTTAATGACCCCTTTGGTCTTACTGTTTTTTAAGGTTTTTCTTTTTAATCACCATATTTTGCAAATTTAATTCCAGTATATATGTCTTGGTATTTGGCCCACAATTGTTTATTTTGATGGGAGTTCTCTGTGCCTCCTGAATATGGATGTTTGCTTCCTTCCCCAGATTAGGGAACTTTTTAGTGATTCTTCACAGATATTTTTTGTCCCCTTTTATATCTCTTCTTCTTCCGGGACTCCTGTAATAAAATGGTATTACGTTTGATGGAGTCTTTGAGTTTCCTATATCTATTCTCATGTTGCATAATTTTTATTTCTCTTTTTTTATCATGTCATTTACAACTATTTTTACTTTTATTTTTTTTTCTTTCATAGTTTATTGTCAAGTTGGTTTCCATATAACACCCAGTGCACATCCCAAAAAGTGCCCTCCTCCATGACCATCACCCCCCCTCCCCTCTCCTACACCCCATCATCCCTCAGTTTGTTCTCAGTATTCAAAAGTCTCTCATGTCACATGTACCCCAATGTTCATAGCAGCACTTTCAACAATAACCAAATCATGAAAAGAGCCTAAATGTCTATCAACCGATGAATGGATCAAGAAGATGTGGTTTATTATACAATGGAATACTACATGGCAATGAGAAGGAATGAAATCTGGCCATTTCTTTCTCTCTTTTCTTCAGTTTTATTGCTTTTCTTTACTTTGTCATCTAGGTCATTAATTTGTTCCTCTGCTTCTTCCAGCCTGCTGTTCATTGCATCAGCCATGTTTCTAATTTCATTTATTGCACTCTTCATCTCTGATTGATTCTTTTTTAACTCTTTTATCTCTGTCATAAGGGTCTCACTGATGTCTGTCATTCTTTTCTCAAGCCTAGTGAATATCCTCATGATCATTGCTTTAAATTCTGCCTCAGGCTGGGGTGCCTGGGTGGCTCAGTTGGTTAAGCATCTGACTTCAGCTCAGGTCATGACCTCACGGTTCATGGGTTCAAGCCCCGCATCCGGCTCTGTGCTGACAGCTAGCTCAGAGTCTGGAGCCTGTTTCAGATTCTGTGTCTCCCTCTCTCTCTGACCCTCCCCTGCTCATGCTGTCTCTCCTTCTCTCTCAAAAATAAATAAAACATTAAAAAAAATAAATTCTGCCTCAGGCATGAGATATATTACTTATATCTGTTTCACTTAGATCTCTGGCTGTGGCCTTATCTTGTTCTTTCATTTGGGATAAATTCCTCTGTCTTCCAATTGTGTCTAAGTCTCTGCCTGCTTCTCTGTGATAGAAAAGCCAGTTGTGTCTCCTCTCCCTGAAAGTAATGGCCTACTGAAGAGATGTCATGTAGTAACCAGGGTCTGCCACTTCAGGGAGTATCTCTAGTTTATGCTGCATGCCACTTTCTGTTGTGTTTCAGCTTCTCTGTCTTTCAGGCCAGTTGCCTGAAAAGGTTCCCCTTGCCTGCTATGGGTAATGCTTTGGTCCCTGGCCCAAATGTGGTGAGTTTTAGGTAATTATGCTTTGGTCTGCTTGTGAAATGAGGCCTGTCACCACCTCCACTGGAACTGAAGCCCTGCAGGACTCTCTGGTCAGGAGGTGTGGTGTGGGCAGGGCTTTGTGCTGGTCTTCTGGAGGAGGGGCCTACCACACTGGGACTGATGCAAGAATGACTGAAGAGGGTTGTATTACTGGAGCATGGGGGTGTGGGCCTTGGAGTATGTAAATTAGGCAGCTAGTGTTGGTGCTGTGCTGCTCCCCATAAGTGGCTCTGTGTTTATGCTGAGGGGTGGGGTAGGGAAATGGCACCAGCTGGCCCTTTTACTCCCAGAGAAAGGTCTTTTCTGTGAATGCTGCTCTCAGGGATGCCCTCTGAGAAGAGTGAATAATTACCCCCTGTGTATGCCCCAGGTGCTCTTTAGATGGTTGTTTCCATGCTATCTGTCCCCAGATGTTCTCCTACCTTATTTCCAGGAGCAGCATAGTACCCTCCACACTCTATCCCACCCAAAACCTCTGGCCTTTAAAACACCAAGGTTTAAGCTTTGCTCATTGCAAGCAGTCATGAAATTCTGCCCCTCTTCTTTTCCAAACCAATGGCTTTGGGGAAGCGTTCTCCTTGTGCACTCTGCTGTGTTCCCCTTCCTCTCTCTCTCTCTCTCTCTCTCCCTCTCCCCCCCCTTCCCCACTTCTCCACAACCATAGCTTTCTCCCTTCCACAGCACCTGTAATCCGTTTCTCCCCAAAACCTCACCTCCATACTTTATATGTTCTTCAGTGTGGCCTCTTCTCTTCCTTGAGTTGTGGAGTTTGTTATATCAGTCTTTAGGTCAGTTTCTGGGGTATTTAGGATGATTTGATAGTTACGCATTTGTGTTCCTGGGATGAGGTGAGCCTGTTGTCCTCCTACCTTACTGCCATCTTCGTCTCTGCCTATCATATGCTATTTTCTGCCCTGTGGTTTCTCCTTTTTCCCTTCTGTTGGCATGGGCAATTGAGAGATGTCCATAATTAAATCATTTTCAAAATACACTTACATTCATTCATGTTCTCCTTTCTTCCCAGGACCTAGGTCAGTATTTGTCTTTTCTCTTTGGAGTACTTCAGGCTGGACATTTTACTGTATGGCCATTTTGCTATGGACCCAGGACCTTCTGCATCTGCCCTTAATTTAAGGGTGATTGTTGAGCAGAGTAGGGAGAGGGGTGAGGCAACAGTTGTCTAATCCCCTTTTGAGAGGGTAATGTCTATAGCCAATTTGACAACATGATGCTTTTCAACTTGTCTGTACATTTAAATCATCGGGAAACTTAAAATTCTGATAACTGGGCCTGACTATTAGAAATTCTGAGTTATCTGTAAAGTGGCCTGGACATGGATATTTTTGAAAGTTCCCCCAAGTGATTCCAGTATGCATCTAGCATTGAGAACTGTGAGGATAAGGAGTTCATGGATGTTCTTATTTGGCAGGATAACAGTACCAAGGGGAACAGAAGAGCAAAGGAGAAGTGTTCCCTTCCAGTTACTCTTGCTACTGGAGAGGATGCAGGACAGCCGGCAGAAAGCAGTGCAACCCTTGGAGCTTGCCTCCTGTCTCCAGAAGTACAATGTTCCAAGTAAGACAACCCTCTCAGTTCTGAGAGAGAGAGGTAGGGGAATGGCAAGGGGGATGGAGGGAGGGTGAGGGGCTCAAAAAATGAGTCAGGAACTGTTCTCTTCTCTTCTTTGTTTTGGGAGAATTTGTGAAGGGATAGGTGTTAATTCTTTAAGTGTTTGGCAGAATTAAGTCCTCTGGGCCTGAGCTTTTCTTTGTGGGAAGCTTCAAAATGGTTGATTCAGGGGGCGCCTGGGTGGCTCAGTTGGTTAAGCGTCTGACTTTGGCTCAGGTCATGACCTCACAGTTCATGGGTTTGAGCCCTGCGTCAGACTCTGTGCTGACAGCCAGCTCAGAGCCTGGAGACTGTTTCAGATTCTGCATCTCCCTCTCTCTCTGACCCTCCCCTGCTCATGCTGTCTCTCTCTCAGAAATGAATTAAGAAACATTAAAATTTTTTAAAAAATAAAAAAATAAAATGGTTGATTCAGGGATACCTGGGTGGCTCAGTTAGTTGAGTGTCCAACTCTTTATTTTGGCTCAGGTCATGATGCCAGGGTTGTGGGATCAAGCCCTGTGTCAGGCTCTGTGCTCTGTGTGAAGCCTGTTTAAGGAGGATACAGGTGCACAGCTGTGGGGGCTAGCTGTAGATGAACCCAGGGGCACAGGGCAGAGACAGTCGTTGGGGCCATATGTGGGCCCACAAGCAGTTGTGTGGGCCTGGTTTTCATAGTGCACTCCTGTGACTACAAAAGCTTGCCCCTGAAATGTGTACGGCAGTGGAGGTTGGTGATGGGATTCAGGCTGGTTGTGTATAGGTTGCACAGATACAGAGGTTAATTGTAGACAAGCCCAGAGATGCAGGCCAGTGGTAAGTATCAAGGTTCGATCCAGGCTCACAAGCAGCTTGGGGGGTCTTAGCTGTTGGCAAGCAATCATGTGGCTGTAGGGGCTCACTCCGGGTGTGCACATGGCAGTGGAGAATGGTGACAGGATTCAGACTGGCAGGTGTAGGTGCACAGCCACAGGGTCTAGCTACAAGTGTGTAAGGGGTAGTGGGGGTCAGCAATCAGGATGTAGGCTGGCACTTTGTATGTGTGCAGCCACAGAGGCCAGGGATGTCTGCTGTTGTGATTTTCTGAGCACTGGTAGGAGGAGGGGAAGGTAGTGGAGAGGGACTCTGGTAATGGTGCCTACAAACAAAAACCTGTGGGGTGAAACCTCAGTCGTGAAATCTGCAGGGTATCTATGATAGTTGTGCTGGCCATTAGTTTTTTTCAGTGGTAGAAGTTAATGGGGTCCTTAGTGGGGTGGGTCCCTGGGAACCGTGGTGGCTCCTGTTACATGGATGACACTAGCACTCACTTCCCTTATTCCTTGTTCCTAGACATTCATAGACATCTCAGCTTTACTGGTCTCCAGGTGGGATGAAACCAAACTAGGTCCTTCATCAAGTGCCCTGAAAGGGCAGGGAAGTTGGTCACACAGCTCTCCTTTTCCTGATGAGAGGAGCTCTTTTGAGCTGGGGAGTTCCCTTTTGACACTAGGCAATGTGCCTGGAGGGTGGGATGATATAGGCAAAATGAAGCTCTTCTTCCTATCCTTTTTGTGTGCTTGTCCTCAAGTTTTCTGTTCCATTGTATTGCTGAAGATTTTTTTCTTCCTGTTGCTGAAGTTTTTCTCTCTCTCTCTTTCTTCCTTTCTTCCTTCCTTCTTTCCTTCCTTTCTTCCTTCCTTCCTTCCTTCCTTCCTTCCTTCCTTCCTTCCTTCCTTCCTTCCTTCCTTCCTCCCTTCCTTAGAGATAGAGAAAAAGTGAAAAGAGGCATGGATGAGATAGGGAGAGGAGCAGAGGGAGACAGATAGACAGACGGACAGACTCTTAGGCAGGCCCCATGCTCAGTGCAGAGCCTGACTTGGGGCTGGATCCCACACCCCTGCGGTCATGACCTGAGCTGAAATCAAGAGTCAGACAATCAACCAACTAAGCCACCCAGGAGTGGTGATGTCATCGTGGTGATGTCACTGAATCCTAATGCTTTTTTTTCCCAAAATTTTATTTAAATTTTAACTAGTTAACATATAGTGTCATGTTTTCAAGAGTTGAATTTAGTGATTCATCATTACATACAACACCCAGTGTTCATCATAAAAAGTACCTCCTTCAATAAGAAAGAATGAAATCTGGCCATTTGTAGAAACATGGATGGAACTTGAGGGTGTTATGCTGAGCAAAATAAGTCAGGCAGAGAAGGACAGATACCACATGTTTGCATGTATAGGTAGATTAGGAGGAACTTAATGGAGGACCATGGGGGAGGAGAAGGGGAAACATAGTTGGGGGGGGAGGGAGGCAAACGGTGAGAGACTCTTGAATGCTGAGAACAAACTGAGAGCTGATGGGGGTGGGGGAGAGGGGAAAGGGGTTGATGGGCATGGGGGAGGGCACTTGCTGGGATGAGCACTGGGTGTTATATGTAAACCAACTTGACAATAAACTATTTAAAAATAAAAGCGCCCTCCTTAATGCCCATAACTCATCCAGCCCATCCCCCGCCTCCCTCCATCAACTCTCAGTTTGTTCTCTGTCTTTAAGAGTCTGTTATGGTTTGTTTCCTTCTGTCTTTCCCCCCACTCCCATATTCTCATCTGTTTTGTTTCTTAAATTCTACTGTGAGTGAAATCATATGGTATTTGTCTTCTCTCTGACTGACTTATTTCACTTAGCATAATACTCTCTGGCTCCATCCACCTCATTGCAAATAGCAAGATTTCATTCTTTTTGATGACTGAGTAATATTCCATTGTATGTGTATACTACATCTTTTTTATCCATCCATCAGGCGATGGCCACTTGGGTTCTTTCCATAGTTTAGCTATTGTTGATAATGCTGTTATAAATATCAGGGTGCATGTCCCCCTTTAAATCTGTATTTTTTGTATCCTTTGGGTAAATAACCTAGTAGTGCCATTGCGGGATCATAGAGTAGTTCTATTTTTAATTTTTTAAATGCTTATTTATTTTGATAGAAAGAGTATTTGTAGGGGAGGGGCAGAGAGAGAGGAGGACAGAGAGGATCCAAAGTGGGATCTGTGCTGACAGGAGCAAGCCTGACGCAGAGCTAGAATCATGAACGATGAGATCATAATCTGAGCTGAAGTTCATGATCAACTGACTCACCCACCCATGTGCCCCTATTTTAAATTTTTTGAGGGACTTCCATGCTGTTTTCCAGAGTGGCTGCACCAGTTTGCATTTCCACCAACAGTGCAAAAGTGTTCCCCTTTTTCTACATCCTCACCAACCCCTGTTGTTTCCTGTGTTGTTAATTTTAGCCATTCCGACAGGTGTGATGTGATATCTCATTGTGTTATTTTTCTTTTGAGAGAGAGAGAGAGCTGGGGGGAGTAGCAGAGGGAGAGAATTTTAAGCCGACTCTATGCTCAATGCAGAGCCCAACCCAGGACTTGATCCCATGACCCTAGGATCATGACCTGAACCGAAATCAAGAGTTGGATGCTCAGGTGACTGAGGACCCAGGTGCCCCTCATCATGGTTTTGATTTGTATTTCCCTGATGATGAGTGATGTTGAGCATCTTTTCATGTGTCTGTTAGCCATCTGGTTGTCTACTTTGGAAAAGTATCTATTCATGTCTTCTGCCCATTTCTTCACTGGATTATTTGTTTTTGGGGTGTTGAGTTTGATAAGTTCTGGATACTAACCCTTTATCAGATGTGTCATTTGCAAATATCTTCTGTTCCATAGGCTGCCTTTTAGTTTTGTTGATTGTTTCCTTGGCTGTGCAGAAGCTTTTTATCTTGATGAAGTACTGATAGTTCATTTTGCTGGTAAGAAGTTATGACAAGGCCAAATGGGTTGCTGATTGTGTTCTTTAGGATTTTGATAATTTCCTGTCTCACAATTGGGTTTTTCACCCATTTTGAATTTATTTTTGTGTATGGTGTAAGAAAGTGTTCTAGTTTCATTCTTTTGCATGTCACCGTCCAGTTTTCCCAACACCATTTGCTGAAGAGCCTGTCTTTTTTCCATTGGATATTCTTTCCTACTTTGTTGAAGATTAGTTGACCATATAGCTGTGGGTCCATTTTTGGATTTTTTTTCTCCATTGATTTATGTGTCTGTTTTTGTGCCAGTACCATACTGTCTTGATGAATACAGCTTTGTGGTTTGAAGTCTGGAATGGTGATGCCTTCAGCTTTTCTTTTCTTTTACATTTGCTTCCATGTACTTTTTAATTTCTTCTTTAATTTCGTGGTTGATTCTTCCATTCTTTAGTAAGATGTTCTTTAACCTCCATCTATTTGTGTCTTTTGAAATTTTTTCTTGTGGTTGACCTCAAGTTTCATAGCATTGTAGTTTGTTAATATTCATGGTATGATCTCAGTCTTTTTGTACCTGTTGAGGGCTGATTTGTAACCCAGGATGTGATCTATTCTGGAAAATGCTCCATGTGCACTCAAGAAGAAGGTGTATTCTGCTGCTTTAGGATGAAGTGTTCTGAATATATCTATAAAGTCCATCCAGTGTGCCATTCAAAGCCATTGTTTCTATGTTGATTTTTTCCTTTGACGATCTGTCCATTGCTATACATGGAGTGTTAAACTCCCTTACTGTTATTGTATTATTAACAATGAGTTTCTTTATATTTGTTGTTAACTTTTATTTTTTAATTTTTTCTTTCTTTTAATAGTTTATTGTCAAGTTGGTTTCCATATAACACACCGTGCTTATCCTCACAAGTGCCCTCCTCCATGCCCATCACCCCCCTTCCCCTCTCCCCCACCTCCATCAGCTCTCAGTTTGTTCTCAGCATTCAAGAGTGTCTCCTGGTTTGCCTCCCTCCCTCTCCCCAACTATTTTTCCCCTTCTCTTCCCCCATGGTCCTCTGTTAAGTTCCTCCTAATCCACCTATACATGCAAACATATGGTATTTGTCCTTCTCTACCTGACTTATTTTGCTCAGCATAACACCCTCTAGTTCCATCCATGTTGCTTCAAATGGCCAGATTTCATTCTATCTCATTGCCATGTAGTATTCCATTGTAGAGATAAACCACATCTGCTTTATCCATTTGTCAGTTGATGAACACTTAGGCTTTTTCCATGTTTTGTCTGTTGTTGAGAGTGCTGCTATGAACATTGGGGTACATGTGCTCCTATGCATCAGCATTTCTGTATCCCTTGGGTAAATTCCTAGCAGTGCTGTTGCTGGGTCATAGGGGAGTTCTATTGTTAGTTTCCTGAGGAACCTCCACACTGTTTTCCAGAGGGGCTGCACCAGTTTACATTGCCACCAACAGTGTAGTATGGTGCCTGTTTTCCACATCCTTGCCAGCATCTAGAGTCTCCTGATTTGTTCATTTTAGCCATTCTGACCGGCGTGAGGTGGTATCTCAGTGTGGTTTTGATTTGTATTTTCCTGATGATGAGTGACGTTGAGCGTCGTTTCATGTGTCTGTTGGCCATCTGGATGTCCTGTTTGGAGAAGTGTCTGTTCATGTCTTCTGCCCATTTCTTCACTGGATTGTTTGTTTTTTGGGTGTGGAGTTTGTTGAGTTCCTTATAGATTTTGGATACTAGCCCTTTATCTGATATGTCATTTGCAACTATCTTTTCCCATTCTGTTGGTTGCCTATTAGTTTTCTGGATTGTTTCCTTTGCCCTGCAGAAACTTTTTATCTTGATGAGGTTTCAATAGTTCATTTTTGCTCTTGATTCCCTTGTCTTTAGGGATGTGTCAAGTAAGAAATTGTTGTGGTTGAGGTCACGGAGGTTGTTTCCTGCTTTCTCCACTAGGATTTTGATGGTTTCCTGTCTCACATTCAGATCTTTTATCCATTTTGAGTTTATGTTTGTGTATGGTGTGAGAAAATGATCTAGTTCCATTCTTCTGCATGCTGTTGTCCAGTTCTCCTAGTCCCACCCATTAAAGAGGCTGTCTTTTTTCCATTGGATACTCTTTCCTGCTTTGTCAAAGATTAGTTGGCCAAACATTTGTGGGTCCAATTCTAGGTTCCCTATTCTATTCCATTGGTCTATGTGTCTGTTTTTATGCCAATACCATACTGTCTTGATGATGGCAGCTTTGTAATAGAGGCTAAAGTCTGGGATGGTGATGCCTCCCGTGTTGGTTTTCTTCTTCAATATTACTTTGGCTATTCGGGGTCTTTTGTGGTTCCATACAAATTTTAGGATAGTTTGTTCTAGGTTTGAGAAGAATGCTGGTGCAATATTGATTGGGATTGCATTGAATGTGTAGATTGCTTTAGGTAGTAATGACATTTTAACAATATTTATTCTTCCAACCCATGAACATGGAATGTTTTTCCATTTCTTTGTGTCTTCTTCAATTTCCTACATAAGCTTTCATCATACAGATCTCTTATATCTGTGGTTAGGTCTATTCCTAGGTATTTTATGGTTTTTTGTGCAATTATGAATGAGATCAGTTTCTTGATTTCTCTTTCTGTTGCTTCATTGTTGGTGTATAAAAATGCAACCTAGGAACTACCTTTTCTTTGCATATTGGCAGACATCTATCCTTTTGTAAAATAGTACTCAGTATGTTTTTCATATTCTTTGACTTCCTAGGTTTCTTTTGAACAAGAGAAATTCATTTATATATGTACACAATATTTTTAGTCTTACATTTACTTATATAACATATGGAGAATTTGGTACTTAATTCCTGTCTCCTCTTAGCCAGTATCATCTAACATTGAGGTGATCCTTTCCTTTCGTGTTCTCCTAGATACCTTTGGGGAAGACTGGGTCAGATATGAGTATTAGAAAACTGCTAAGTTTCTGGGGAATGAAAAAGAAAGTAAATAAAGGTACAGAGAAATGAGTGACCATTAGAGTCTAATTAAGGTATTGGCTTGGCTTGGAAATAGGAGAGAATGCACTATTGAATATTGGTTTTATCTGGCTGGGTCCCCCAGTAGAGGTCAGTAGGTGTGGGTGGCCAGTTAGAGGAAGGGAAACTGCTCTGATGAAGTCGGACTGGATTTTAAGTTTTAAGAGGAGTTCTCAAAAAGAAATAACAAGATTATTTTTTACTTTTTTTTTTTTAATGTTTTATTTATTTCTAGGAGGGAGAGAGAGAGAGAGAGACAGCGTGAGCAGGGGAGGGTCAGAGAGAGAGGGAGTCACAGACTGAAACAGGCTCCAGGCTCTGAGCTGGCAGTCAGCACAGAGCCCGATGCGGAGCTCGAACCCACGAACCGCGAGATCATGACCTAAGCGAAAGTCGGACGCTTAACCGACTAAGCCACCCAGGCGCCCCTATTTTTTACTCTTAATACCTAACATTGAGTGTAAATTTAGCCTGAAAAGCTGGGGTGGAAGGAGTGAAGGCTAGGAGAGGACAAAGTGGTGAGTGTTCATGTGTATCTACGTATCTAGGGCATAAGAGCATGGGAAATGTCGTTGGTGACCTTACTGATCAAGCTGTTACTTTCCTCTTTGGCCAGTGTTTGTTCAACATGATGCTGCTCAACTCTACCTCACAATATGGAACCTAATTAAGGACCAAATCACAGATGTGGACTTGGTAAGATGCTAGAACTAAAGAACTCCGAAGTTTAAGATGCTGCTCATTTAGCTCATTCAGCTATCATTAATATAATGTATAGAGAGGATTAAAAGAGAAAATTTACATAAATTCTTATGAGAATAAAGCATTGAGGAAATTAGACCTGGAAAAAAATTTTAAAATAAATTAATAAATGTTACTATGCTCACTGAAAGCATTGGATACAGCATTGGATTTAAAATACTTTTTAAGTTAAAGAATCTATTGAATGTGATTTAAGTGTCATATTCCTGAGATAGGGGATGGTATTATTTTTTTCTTTCTGATATTACATTGCCTTCCAAGTATGTATGCTTGACAACTATTTGCTTAAAAACGAAATGACTGTATAAACTCATACAACTTTTCCAAAGTTCACTTGATTTTTTTTGAAAACTCACCATAAAGGTATCACATTTTTCTGCCAAAAAAATACTTATCACAATTCCATAATATTACTACTGTTATTATTTGCACCTTTTGAAGAGCAAAGAGGATCATTGGCTGCCATTTCTGGAGCTTCTGTCTGGTAGCTACAGTTTCTGGAAATTGATCTCACCTGTTTATGGCTTTGTGCCCTTCTTTCCTTTCACCTCCTCTCTCTTGCAGGTAGAGAGGCTGCAGGCCCTTTATACAATCCGAATGAAGGAGTCCTCGGTTTGCCTTGAGTGTACAATGGAAAGAAGGAGAAATAGTAGCATGCTGACCCTCCCCCTTCCTCTTTTTGATATGGACTCAAAGCCCCTGAAAACCCTGGTGAGGAATTCCTCTTGATGAATTTGCTGTTCTCATACACCCAATGCTACTAGTGTGCCCTTGCTTCTTTAATCCACCTTTAGCTTTTTTCAAAATACAATTTATTGTCAAATTGATTTCCATACAACAGCCAGTGCTCATCCCAACATGTGCTTTCCTCAGTGTCCATCATCCACTTTTCCATCTCCCCCACCCCCACCAACCGACAGTTTGTTCTCATTATTTGAGAGTCTCTTATGGTTTGCCTATATCTTCTTGATCCATTCACCAGCTGATGGATATTTAGGGTCTTCCCATGATTTGGCTATTGTTGAAAGTGCTGCTATGAACATTGAGGTACTTTCCTAGGAGTGGTATTGCTGAGTCATAGGGGAGTTCTATTGTTAATTTGTTTGAGGAACCTCCACAGTGTTTTCCAGAGGGGCTGCACCAGTTTACATTCCCACCAACAATGTAAGAGGGTGCCTGTTTCTCCACATCCTCGGAGATGGAGTCTGTCGGGTTTTCTATGTAGAGCATCATGTCGTCTGCGAAAAGTGAAAATTTGACTTTATCTTTGCCAATTCTGATGCCTTTTATTTAATTTTGTTGTCTGATGGCTGATGCTAGGACTTCCAGCACTATGTTAAACAACAGTGGTAAAAGTGGACATCCCTGTCGTGTTCCTGATTATAAAGGGAAAGCTCTCAGTTTTTCCCCATTGAGGATGATGTTAGCTGAGGGCTACTCATAAATGGCTTTTATGGTGTTTAAGTAAGTTCATTCTATCCTGACTTTCTCTAGAGTCTTTATTAAGAAGGGATGCTATATTTTGTCAAATGCTTTTTCTGCATCTATCAACAGGATCATATAGTTTTTATCTTTTCTTTTATTAATGTGATGTATCACATTGATTGATTTGTGAATATGGAACCAGCCCTGCATCCCAGGAATGAATCCCACTTGACCATGGTGGATAATTCTTTTTATGTGCTGTTAAATTCGATTTGCTAGTATCTTGTTGAGGAGTTTTGCATCCGTATTCATCAAGGATTTTGGCCTGTAGTTCTCTTTCTTTGCTGGGTCTCTGGATTGGAAGTCAAAGTGATGCTGGCTTTGTAGAATGAGTCCAGAAGTTTTCCTTCCAATTCTGTTTTTTGGAACAGCTTTCAGAGAATGGGTATTAACTCTGATTTAGATGTCTGGTAGAATTCCCCAGGGAAACCATCTGGTCCAGGGCTCTTATTTGTTGGGAGATTTTTGATAAGTGATTCAATTTCTTCACTAGTTATGGGTCTGTTCAGATTTTCTCTCTTCCTGTGTGAATTTTGGTAGTGTGTGTGTGTGTGTGTGTGTGTTTAGGGATTTGACCATTTCTTCTAGGTTGTCCAGTTTGTTGGCATATAATTTTTCATAGTATTTCCTGATAATTGCTTGTCTTTCTGAGGGATTGGCTGTAATAAGTCCATTTTCATTCATGATTTTGTCTTTTTGGGTGCGCTCTCTCTTCCGTTTGAGAAGCCTGGCTAGAGGTTTGTCAATTTTGTTTCTTTTTTCAAAAAACCAACTCTTGGTTTCATTGATCTGTTCAACTGCTTTTTTGGATTCTACATTGTTTATTCCTGCCCTGATTTTTATTCTTTCTCTTCTCCTACTGGGTTTGGGGTGTTCTTGCTGTTCTCCTTCTAGTTCCTTTAGGTGCGGTGTTAGATTTTGGACTTGGCGCCTTTTCTAATTTCTTGAAGTAGGCCTGGAGTGCAATGTACTTTCCTCTCGAGACTGCCTTTGCCGCATCCCATAGAGTTTGAATTGTTGTATTTTTATTTTCATTTGTTTCCAAATATTTTTAAATTTCTTCTCTAATTGCCTGATTGGCCCATTCATTATTTAGTAGGGTGTTCTTTAACCTCCATGTTTTTGGAGGTTTTTCAGACTTTTTCCTGTGGTTGATTTCAAGGTTCATAGCATTGTGGTGTGAAAGTGAGCATGGTATGATCTCAAGTCTTTTATATGTATTGAGGGCTACTTTATGACACAGTATGTGATCTATGTTGGAGAATGTGCTATGTGCACTTGAGAAGAAAGTGAATTCCATAGCCTCAGGATATAGAGTTCTAAATATCTGTCAAATCCATATGGTCCAGTATGCCATTCAGGGCCATTGTTTCTTTAGTGATTTTCTGTCTAGTTGATCTATCCATTGCTGCAGGTGGAGTATTAAAGTCCCCTGCTATTAGCACGTTCTTGTCCATAAGATTGTTTCTGTTTGTGATTGTTTCATATATTTGGGTGCTTCCATATTTGGTGCATAGACATTTATAATTGTTAGCTCTTCCTGATGGATAGACCCTGTAGTTATTACATAATGCCCTTCTTCATCCCTTATTACTGCCTTTACTTTAAAGTCCAGTTTGTCTGATATAAGTATAGCTACTCCAGCCATCTTTTGACTTCCAGTAGCATGATAAATATTTCTTCACTCCCTTATTTTCAATCTGAAGGTGTTCTCAGGTCTAAAATGATTTTCTTGTACACAGCAAATAGATGGATTTTGTGTTTTTATCCATTCTGATACCCTGTGTCTTTTGATTGGAGCATTTAGTCTATTTACATTCAGTGTTTTTATTGGAAAATACGGGTTTAGAGTCATTGTGTTCTATGTAGGTTTCATGCTTGTAGTGATGTCTCTGGTACTTTACGTTCCTTGCAACATTTCCTTCATAGATCCCCCTTATGATCTCTTTTAGGGCTGGTTTAGTGGTGATGAATTCTTTAAATTTTTGTTTGTTTGGGAAAACCTTTATCTCTCCCTCTATTCTGAATGATAAGCTTGCTGGATAAAGGATTCTCAGCTGCATATTTTTCCTGTTCATCACATTGAAGATTTTCTACCATTCTTTTCTGGCTTGCCAAGTTTCAGTAGATAGGTCTGCTACTATCATTATATGTCTACCTTTGTATTTTAAGGCCAATTTTATCCCTAGCTGCTTTCAGAATTTTTTTCTTTATCCTTGTATTTTGCCAGTTTCACTCTGATATGTCATGCAGAAGATTGATTCAAGTTACGTCTGAGGAGTGTTCTCTCTGTCTTTTGAATTTCAATGTCTGTTTCCTTCCCCAGGTTGGGAATGTTCTCAGCTATGATTTGTTCAAGTACCACTTCAGTCCCTTTCTCTCTCTCTTCTTCTTATGGAATTCCTATGATATGGATATTGTTCCATTTGATTGTATCACTTAATTCCCTAATTCTCCTTTTGTGCTCCTGGGTTATTTTATCTCTTTTTTTCTCAGCTCCCTCATTTTCCATAATTTTATCTTCTAATTTTCCTATTATCCTCTCTGCCTCTTCAATCAGCACGGTGGCCACCTCCATTTTATTTTGCACCTCATTTGTAGCATTTTTAAATTCATCATGACTATTTTTAAGATCCTTGATATCTGCAGAAATAGAGTCTCTGCTGTCTTCTGTGCTTTTTTCAAGCCCAGAAATTAATTTAATGACTATTATTCTAAATTCTTGCTCAGTTATGCTGCTTATATCTGTTTTTATCTATTCTTCAGCTGTCACTTCTTCCTGGAATTTCTTTTGATGAGATTTCTTCTGTTTCATCGTTTTGGCTAGTTTTCTGTCCCTTGTAGTTTTAGCTTGTTATGTGCTCTGCACCTATGAGTGCTGCTGTACTAAAGGGAGCTCATATGCTGTCCAAGGCCTGGCTCTTGGAGAGTGTTATTTGCTTTCTGTTTTTGTAACTTTGGTTATTTTATTTCCCTACTTGGTGTGATGTTTTGGATCAAACCACCAGGTGTGGTTTGGTTTGTTCTTTGAAGTGGTCCTGGAAGGGAAAACAAATAGACAAACAGGAAACAAAAATATGCAAATGTACAAATAAAACAAACAAGCAAACAAATAGAAACAAAAAAAAACCCAATAACAAAAAACAATCTAAAATCAAAAAGCCCAAAACACCAGCTACAAGTAAAGATAGGGTGGAGGCGGTGCTGACAGAAGAACATATACAGAAAGAGAGAAAAGACAGGGGTGGGGAATAAGGACAGGCAGAGAGACTAAAAGGCTTAATCCAGAGAGAGATAAAGGAGAATAAGGAAGGAGGTGAGGAAAAAGAAATGAAGATAAAGTTACCCACAGATACTATATGGCCTGATTAATCCAGTGAGAAAGAAAGGAAAGAGGGAGGTATAGACTATGCATCAAGAGAATCAATTAAATCTGTCTGTTTAAGCAAACCACTAACCAGAGTAACCAGCTTAGAGGATGGAGGAAACAAGTAGAAAAGGGAGAATATATCTAAATAACAAGAATTGACCTAGAATTAATCCAGGCTGTGCCGCTTTATGGGTCCGGAGGGGCAATCTGGTTCTACAGCCTCTCTCCAACTCTAGTAGATGAGCAGCTCTCAACATGGGCGGGGGGCGTAGGGTGAGGCGTGGTATATGTTGGGACCCACCTCCACTGTGGGCCCTGCAAGACTGATCCCTGAGGCCCACCTTAGTAGTTGTGGGGAGAAAAATGGCCACCCCCTCAGTCCCTTCTTCACAGACCAGGTGTGCCAAATCACTCCTTTGTATCCATTCTTGCTGTGCTGTGAGCACAGATGAGGGAACTGTCTTGCTCCACCGTCTCCTGTGTCCCATGCTTAGCTGGGTTTTAAACTCCCACTTCATGCGCACTAATGTTGCTGCCTGAAATGTAATCCTGCGGCTGTGCTGCAGCACCTAAGGGGAAGGGACTGGATTCTCCTTCTGCAGCCTGTGCTCCTGGTCTACCACTGAACCCAGAGGTGATTCCCCTCCTCCCCTGGTGTGCAAACAGGGCAGCCAAACCCAGTCTGAAGTAAGCCCTGCAGTTAGAGATGGGATCCCTCTCCTCCCTGGTTGGAGGGTTTTTTTCTCTTGTCCAGATACAGTCCTATGCGTCCGCAGCCATTTTTTGTCTTCCCTTTGTCTCTCTGCAGAGGGGATCCCTCCCCTCTGTGCTTTTGTGGCCTGTTTTATCTCCTCCAGTTCTCAATCATGCACCTATGGAGCCATCTAGTTTCCCGTTTTCTTCCTGGTAGACTCTGTCTCTTTTCCCCCCAGACTCTTGGGGTTCAAAGTCCTTTGGTTTCAGCACTTCTTTGTTTGAGAGACATGGGAAGTACAGATCCCCCTACTTCTCTGACATATCAGCTCTGTCATCCCACCATTGGCTTTTAAAAAAAATAATTTTGATGTGCCTGGATGGCTCAGTTGGTTGAACTTCTGACTTCGGCTCAGGTCATGATCTCATGGTTCATGGGTTCAAGCCCTGCGTTGGGCTCTGTGCTGACAACTCAGAGCCTGGAGCCTGCTTCAGATTCTGTGTCTTCCTCTCTCTCTGCCCCTCCCTTGCTTGCACTCTGTTTCTCTCTCTCTCAAAAATAAACATTAAAAATTTAAAAAAAAATTTCTATTTCCTTTGCACAGTTCTAAGTTCTCCTTTGATTTGGTGAAAAAACCCTTTCTACCATTTACTTCCTTTCCCCACGCTGCTACCTTAACAAGTGCTCCCTCCTGTTTTTCCTTCCAATCAGTAGGTACTTTTGGAGACCCTGCCACATGCACCACACTGGCTCAGATGGTAAGGGGAACAAGGAGAGAACCAGAAGGAAAGCTTAAATCCTCATCTGTAGGGTGAGGGGTTATACTGTATATGGTAAATACCAACTCTGCTTTTTCTTTGTTCCCCTGGGACAGGAGGATGCCCTTCGCTGTTTCTTCCAACCAAGGGAGTTATCAGGCAAAAGCAAATGCTTCTGTGAGAACTGTGGGAAGAAGACTTGTGGGAAACAGGTACTTGCTCCCTAAAACCAGAAGCTTCCCTACTCTGGGTGTATTTCCTGATGGAGGCCTGTGATACTTGAGGGAGGGAATCCATATCCAGCTAGTATCTGGGATCTGAGGCTTCTGATTATCAGAGGCCCATCACTGAGAGGAGCAGAGTCTTTTAAAAGATAAGAGGAGAAGATCTAAGAGAAGCATGCAGAGTTCCCCCCACAGGGTTAGACTAGCTCTCTAGAGCAGAATGTAGTTCTCATGGGCTCTGGTTCCTGTGCAGAACCCTAGGGCTGCTCATGGCTTCTGTGGAAGAGCTCAACAGATTCAGCAAATGGGGGCTCTTAACTCTGTATTATAGTGTTCTGATCTCTCTTGTGAAGAATATACCATCAGCTCTGGTATTTCTCTGAATCTACCCATTTCAAGTACTTTAGGACTTCATCTCCACAATAATTTTGTTTTTTCAGGTCCTGAAGCTGACCCATTTGCCCCAGACCTTAACAATCCACCTCTTGCGGTTCTCCATCAGAAATTCACAGACAGAAAAAATCTGCCACTCACTCTATTTCCCCCAGAGTTTGGATTTAAGTCAGATCCTTCTGATTGATGAAGACCTCTGCAACTCTGAGGAAGAGGTGAGAAGCTCCTCACTTCCTTTCTATTCTCCCTGTCTTCAGACCCCTTGTCTGCGTGATTTTTGTCTCTCCTCTCCTAAGGTCCTTGAAGTCACCCACTCAACAGAGATGACATTTTTGGGTATCTCATCTGTGTCATTGTATCATCTCAGAAATCATGGTCTCTGCTGGCCATGCTTGTGGTATACAAAGGGAAGGAAGCTCATCGGCAGCTACTTGATGTGATTCATAGAAACATATTATACATTCAAGAAATACCCTTACTTTTTAAAATAGTATTTTAATGATGTGTGTTCCTGAATAACAATGATAGGTTGTTATTACCATACTACTCTCAAGAGCATTTGCTGTTTATAGTTGCTTTTCTTTTAAGAATCCAAAGACTTTAGGGGTGCCTGGGTGGCACAGTTAGTTAAGCTTCCGACTCCTGATCTCGGCTCAGGTCATGATCTCATGGTTTGTGAGTTCGAGCCCCGTGTTGGGCTCTGTACTGATATTCCAGAACCTGTTTGGTATTCTGTCTCTTCTTCTCTCTGACCATCCCCTGCTTGTGCTCTTTCTTTCTCAAAATAAATAAATTAAAAAAATTTTTTTTAATCCAAAGACTTATTTCTGACTATTGGGCTTTGTTCATGTACCTCACAGCACTGAGAGAGAGAAGGAACCTGTAGTTCCTCTTCTACTTAAATATGGTATATAATACATATACGTAAGTAAACACAACATCTTGGAATCTAAATATAGTATCAACATAACTTTCTTCCTGAAACAGTTTATGCCTAATTTGAGGATGGTAATAAGAGAGCCAGTTCATTTGGGTCAAATTTAATCAAAGTAAAGTTGAATTCAGTTGTCCTGAGCTGATAATTTATTTGGAAAGTCTGAGAAAAAGATATGACATAAATATCTTTTCTTACGTTTGAAATGTTACATTTAGTAAATTATATGTATATATATAAAAAACTTTATATATATACACATACATATATATGTATATAATATAAATATATATTTATATTATAATATAAATATTTATAAATATTTAAAAATTTCTATTAAAAATAGAAATATATATAATATAATACATTTAGTAAATTATATGTATATATATAAAAAACTTTATATATATACACATACATATATATGTATACACACATACATACACATATATGTATATATATGTTCCATAAAATATATAAAATATATCCTTTACATATCATTTTATGGACTGTTTTTTTCACTATTCATATTCTAGAACCCTGGTATTATAAAAATTGAGGCTTGATAATATAATAGCTGCTATGTAACATGATTTCTTTGCCTATTTAGTGCATATACATTTCATAAGATTATCATTTTCTGTCCTTTGAGTTTTCCTTTATTTCTATTTGTGCACTGTGAAGTATATCTTAATGAAATAATATCTTAAAATTTTATTCCACTTAAAAAGACGTTGTTATGGAAAATCTTGAATATATAGCAAAGTAATGGGGAGTTATACAATGAATCTCCATGCCTTTCAAGCAGCTTAAAAGTTATCAAAACTCATGGCCAATCTTGCTTTACCATCTTTATCCTCTTCTTTCTCCAACCTTCTACTGGATTATTTTGAAGCACGTCCCAGACACCATGCCACAAGCACGTCCCAGACACCATGCCACTTCATTTAAAGTGTTTCATTATGTCGTTCTAAAGAATAAAAGAAAAGTTTGGGGTCACAAATGTAGACTTAGGGAACTCAGCGACTCCATAAAGCATAATAACATTGGTATCATAGGAATCCCAGAAGAGAGGGGGAAAAAGGCAGATGGAGAAAGGAGCTAGAAAAAAAATTCCTGGCTTGGAGTAAGCAGCTCCAGCTTCCACTGGGGGTGCTGTGTTCCTCACTGAAGTCTATTAGTGCTGATGGGCAGGGCGAAAATGGTGTTGCCCTGCTCTCTACTTCTTGGAGTGGCAAGTTTGTGCCCACCACTGCCCAGGAAGCCCTCACAGAAGAGCGAACAATCTCCCTTCTTGTGTCCCTGGCTTCTGTCAGATTCCTGTCTTCACACTGTGTCAGAGCAAAAAGCCGGCACCAAGGTTATCTGCCCTCAGTAGGTGTCCCTGTCCCTATGCTAATGAATGGAGCAGCATATTTGGGCCCACCAACTTTGTGTTCTGCCAGAGATGCCATGCAATCTCTCCCAAATGCACTCCAAGAAGAACCGCCTGTCCCAGCGACCCAGGAGATCCTCAAACAATGCTTTCTGTTCCTAGGCCTCTGGAGGACCACTGTGCCCACCAGGCAGAGCCTAGCAGTGGTGCAGACTTCTAAAACTTCAGACTTTGAGTTCCACTCTTTGTAAAAACCTGCAATAATCAGCCGCTCTAGTTTCATAGTTAGTGGTTTTAGGGAAGGTGTTTCTCTTGTGCAAGCCCCTATGCACTGCTTTCTCTCTCTCTGATCTCTTCAAGATCAAGGCTTCCCCTGTACACAGCACCCGCCGTTCTTTTATCCCTGGAATCACATCTCTGCAGCTTGTACCTTTCACGATGTAGCTTCCTTTTTCCCTCTAGTTGTGCAGTTCATTCTCTCAGCATTCAGTTGATTTATTGGGTATTTGCAATGATTGGGTATTTATCTAGCTGTTTTTGAGGGCTGAGGCAAGCATAGGGATCCCCTACTGCTCCACCATCAACTCAAGTGTATCTATTCATCTATTGATGAACACTTGGGCTGCTTCCATATATTGGCTAATATAAATAATGCTGCTATAAACATAGGGTGCATGTATCCCTTTAAATTAGTGTTTTGTATTTTTTTGGATAATACCCAGTAGTATTATTACTGGATCATAGGGTAGTTTCGCTTTTTACTTTGTGGGGAAAACTCCATACTGTTTTCCACAGTGGCTGCACCAGTTTTCACTCCCACCAACAGTGCATCTCATAATATCCTAATGTCACTAATGCCTAGTCAATATTTAGATTTCTGTGACCCATAAATTGGTTTGTTCGAACCTAGATACCAACAAAGTCTACACTTGCATTTGCATAAGTTTCATTCTTTCCTCTTCCTTTTCCCTCCTTCCCTCTCCTGCTCCGTGCCTTTCTTTCTCCTTTTAGGTTAGGTTTCTTTTTTATTTTTTATGAAATATTTTTAATGTTTATTTTTGAGAAAGAGAGTGCCAACGGGAGATGAACAGAGAGAGAGGGAGTCACAGAATCCAAAGAAGGCTCAGAGCTCTGAACTGTCAGCACAGAGCCTGATGTGAGGCTCAGACTCACTGATTGAAACATGATCTGAACTAAAGTCAGACACTTAACCAACTGAGCTATCCAGGTGCCCCTAGGTTAAGTTTCTTTTAAATTTCTTTCACCTCTTGGGACTCAGTGAGGGAAATGTTGCAAGGAACACTAGGTACCAGAGACACTACCACAAGCATGAATCCTACAGAGAATACAGTGACTCTAAATCCATATTTTTCAATAATAACACTGAATGTAAGTGGACAAATGCTCCAATCAAAAGACATAGGGTAGCAGAATGGATAAAAAACAAAATCCATCTATTTTCAGTCTATAAGAAACTCTTTTTAGACCTGAGAACACCTTCAGATTGAAAGTAAGGGGGTGGAGAAATATTTCTCGTGCTACTGGAAGTCAAAAGATGGCTGGAGTAGCTATACTTATATCAGACAAACTGGACTTTAAAGTAAAGGCAGTAATAAGGGATGAAGAAGGGCATTATGTAATAACTACAGGGTCTATCCATCAGGAAGAGCTAACAATTATAAATGTCTATGCACCAAATAAGGAAGCACCCAAATATATGAAACAATCACAAACAGAAACAATCTTATGGACAAGAACGTGCTAATAGCAGGGGACTTTAATACTCCACCTGCAGCAATGGATAGATCAACTAGACAGAAAATCACTAAAGAAACAATGGCCCTGAATGGCATACTGGACCAAATGGATTTGACAGATATTTAGAACTCTAAAACCTGAGGCTATGGAATTCACTTTCTTCTCAAGTGCACATAGCACATTCTCCAACATAGATCACATACAGAGACATAAAGAAGCCCTCAATACATATAAAAGACTTGAGATCATACCATGCACACTTTCACACCACAATGCTATGAACCTTGAAATCAACCACAGGAAAAAGTCTGAAAAACCTCCAAAAACATGGAGGTTAAAGAACACCCTACTAAAAAAAGAATGGGCCAATCAGGCAATTAGAGAAGAAATTTAAAAATATTTGGAAACAAATGAAAATAAAAATACAACAATTCAAACTCTATGGGATGCGGCAAAGGCAGTCTCGAGAGGAAAGTACATTGCACTCCAGGCCTACTTCAAGAAATTAGAAAAGGCGCCAAGTCCAAAATCTAACACCGCACCTAAAGGAACTAGAAGGAGAACAGCAAGAACACCCCAAACCCAGTAGGAGAAGAGAAAGAATAAAAACCAGGGCAGGAATAAACAATGTAGAATCCAAAAAAGCAGTTGAACAGATCAATGAAACCAAGAGTTGGTTTTTTGAAAAAAGAAACAAAATTGACAAACCTCTAGCCAGGCTTCTCAAAAGGAAGAGAGAGCGCACCCAAAAAGACAAAATCATGAATGAAAATGGACTTATTACAGCCAATCCCTCAAAAAGACAAGCAATTATCAGGAAATACTATGAAAAATTAAATGCCAACAAACTGGACAACCTAGAAGAAATGGTCAAATCCCTAAACACACACACACACACACACACACTACCAAAATTCACACAGGAAGAGAGAAAATCTGAACAGACCCATAACTAGTGAAGAAATTGAATCACTTATCAAAAATCTCCCAACAAATAAGAGCCCTGGACCAGATGGTTTCCCTGGGGAATTCTACCAGACATCTAAATCAGAGTTAATACCCATTCTCTGAAAGCTGTTCCAAAAAACAGAATTGGAAGGAAAACTTCTGGACTCATTCTACAAAGCCAGCATCACTTTGACTTCCAATCCAGAGACCCAGCAAAGAAAGAGAACTACAGGCCAAAATCCTTGATGAATACGGATGCAAAACTCCTCAACAAGATACTAGCAAATCGAATTTAACAGCACATAAAAAGAATTATCCACCATGGTCAAGTGGGATTCATTCCTGGGATGCAGGGCTGGTTCCATATTCACAAATCAATCAATGTGATACATCACATTAATAAAAGAAAAGATAAAAACTATATGATCCTGTAGATAGATGCAGAAAAAGCATTTGACAAAATATAGCATCCCTTCTTAATAAAGACTCTAGAGAAAGTCAGGATAGAAAGAACTTACTTAAACACCAAAAAAGCCATTTATGAGAAGCCCTCAGCTAACATCATCCTCAATGGGGAAAAACTGAGAGCTTTCCCAATATAATCAGGAACACGACAGGGATGTCCACTTTAACCACTGTTGTTTAACATAGTGCTGGAAGTCCTAGCATCAGCCATCAGACAACAAAAGGAAATCAAAGGCATCAGAATTGGCAAAGATAAAGTCAAACTTTCACTTTTCGCAGACGACATGATGCTCTACATAGAAAACCTGACAGACTCCACCAGAAGTCTACTAGAACTGATCCATGAATTCAGCAAAGTTGCAGGGTACAAAATCAACGTACAGAAATTGGTTGCATTTTTATACACCAATAATGAAATAACAGAAAGAGAAATCAAGAAACTTATCCCTTCACAATTGCACAAAAAAACATAAAATATCTAGGAATAAACCTTACCAAAGATTTAAGAGATCTGTATGATGAAAACTATGGAAAGTTTATGAAGGAAATTGAAGAAGACACAAAGAAATGGAAATACATTCCATGATCATGGATAGGAAGAATAAATATTGTTAAAATGTCATTACTAACCAAAGCAATCTACACATTCAATGCAATCACAATCAAAATTGCACCAGCATTCTTCTCAAACCTAGAACAAACTATCCTAAAATTTGTATGGTACCACAAAAGACCCTGAATAGCCAAAGTAATATTGAAGAAGAAAACCAAAACGAGAGGCATCACAATCCCAGACTTTAGCCTCTACTACAAAGTTGTCATTATTAAGACAGTGTGGTATTGGCACAAAAACAGACACATAGACCAATGGAATAGAATTAAGAACTCAGAATTGGACCCAAAAGTGTACAGCCAACTAATCTTTGACAAAGCAGGAAGGAGTATCCCATGGAAAAAAGACAGATGGTGCTGAGAGAACTGGACAGCAACATACAGAACAATGAAACTAGATCATTTTCTCACACAATACACAAAAATAAACTCAAAATGGGTGAAGGACCTGAACGTGAGACAGGAAACCATCAAAACCCTAGAGAAGAAATCAGGAAACAACCTCCTTGACCTCAACCGCAGCAGTTTCTTACTTGATACATCCCCAAAGGCAAGGGAATCAAAATGAACTATTGGAATGAACTATTCGAACCTCATCAAGATAAAAAGCTTCTGCACGGAAAGGAAACGATCAATAAAACGAATAGGCAACTGTCGGAATGGGGAAAGATAGCTGTAAATGACATATCAGATAAAGGGCTAGTATCCAAAATCTATAAGGAACTCACCAAACTCCACACCTGAAAAAAAAACAATCCAGTGAAGAAATGGGCAGAAGACATGAACAGACACTTCTCCAAAGAGGACATCCAGATGGCCAACAGACATATGAATCGATGCTCAGCATCCCTCCTCAACAGGAAAATACAAATCAAAACCACACTGAGATACCACTTTACGCTGGTCAGAGTGGCTAAAATGAGCAAATCAGAGGACTCTAGATGCTGGCGAGGATGTGGAGAAATGGGCACCCTCCTACGCTTTGGTGGGAATGTAAACTGGTGCAGCCCCTCTGGAAAACAGTGTGGAGATTCCTCAAAAAATTAACAGTAGAACTTCCCTATGACCCAGCAGTAGCACTGGTAGGAATTTACCCAAGGGATGCAGGGGTGCTAATGCCTAGGGACACATGTACCCCAGTGTTCATAGCAGCACTCTCAACAATAGCCAAAACATGGAAAGAGCCTAAGTGTTCATCAACTGATGAATGGATCTAGAAGATGTGGTTTATCTATACCATGGAATACTACATGGCAATGAGAAACAATGAAATCTGGCCATTTGTAGCAACATGGATTTCCATCAATATTGAGGACGTTATGCTGAGCGAAATAAGTCAGGCAGAGGACAGATACCATATGTTTGCACGTATAGGTGGATTAGGAGGAACTTAACAGAAGACCATGGGGGAATAGAAGGGGAAAAATAGTGGGGGAGCGGGAGGGAGGCAAACCATGAGAGGCTCTTTAATACTGAGAATAAACTGAGGGTTGATGGGGGTTGGGGGAGAGGGAAGGGTGGTGATGGGCATGGAGAAGGGCACTTGTCAGAATGAGCCCTGGGTGTTATATGGAAACTAATTTGACAAACAACTATTTAAGAAAAAAATAAGTTTGTTTCTCCTCATTTTCTTGTTCTTGCATTTCATTTGGTGAAGTTTTTAAAAAATAAATATCCAGAGTTTTCTGGTTGTTGTTATTTAACATGTTCCTTTATCCTTTGTATTTCTTGTAAACAATTGGAGCTAGATATTGCCCTGCATTTAAAAAATCTAGCATAAATTCCCAAATGAAAATAGAGAATAATTTGAGCTCTCCCTTTTGGGTGACTTAACTGCACTTGCACTACCCTCACTCCTATTTTCCTCATTGATAATTTTCAAAGTCTCAGGTTAGGGATATTATTTGACTATGTTAAGATAAAAGAATAAGGTATATATGACTAATGTTGAGATCCTCCTCTCAGTCAGTCAAAACTCCATCTCTTCCACCACTATTCCCTTTTTAAATTTTTTAAAAATGTTTTTATTAAGAGAGAGACAGAGCATGAGTGGGGGAGGGGCAGAGGGAGGAGACATAGATTCTGAAGCAGGCTCCAGGCTTTGAGCTGTCAGTATAGAACCCAACGTGGGGCCTGAACTCGTGAACCACGAGATCATGACCTGAGCCAAAGTCGGACACCCAACCAACTGAACTACCTAGGCATCCCTACTACTATTCCCTTTTCACAGAAAATTCTCTCTTCTGTTTCTAAGATTTTAGGGAATAAAGTGACTTAACTGCCAAATCTAATGGATACTTTTGGTCCTTCCCTTACTTTATCTTCTTGTAATATTCTGTTATTGATCCTACCCTCCTTCAAAATCTACGATAAACTTTCCTCATAGGATTTCTTACTCTATTGGTGGATCCTTTCATCCTTTTATTGAAGTAATTAGTTTTAATTTCATTTTTTCTCCTATCCATTCTTCTATTTCATCTCATTAATTCTCATGATTTTAGTAATCACCTCAAACTTAAGTCTTCCAAATTTGTAACTCCTGTCCAGGTCTTACACTTGAGCTCCAAACCAGTGAGTGTATTCACCTCCTACTGAATGTTGTCATATAATCCCCAACTTCATTATCTTCAATCCCAAACAGCTCTGTTTCACATTTAACTTTATAGTACCAATATTTTCTTAATTTCCAAGCCAGAGATGCCTCCTACTTGCCCCCTCCCCAAAATCAAATCCTTTACAAAATGTCGTTGGTTATTTATGCCTAGTTTTGCACAAATCTGCCCCCTCAACCTCATCTTTAGTCTCACTTTCTTAGTATAGCATAGGGATTAAGAGCTTAGGCTTTGAGGCCAGACAGGTCTGCGTTGGAATTCTGCCTCTTCTAGTTATAAGCTCTGACTTTTGGGTAAATTACTTTACCTCCCTGAGCTTAGATTCCACCTTTGTGAAATAGGATTTATATTACCACCCAGCTCAACATGATTGTTATATGAATATTAAATGAAATAACACGTAAAAACTTAGCTAAATGCATAGGAAATGCCAAAGGTTAGCTAATAATTATTATGTTAAGAATGATTATTATCATTTTGGTGACTACTACTGATAATCGCTGTCTAGACTATAGCCATTTTTTTCTTGACTATTGTGGTGCCCAAAGTGACCTCATTGGCTTCTGCCTCACTTAAACTCTCATTCCATTTTTCAAACCACATTATTTCAGTATTTTTCTCAAACACAAATCTGATGATGCTCCTTGTCTGCTTAAACCCTTCTGATGGGTCTCAATCATTCTAATTCTTATTCTAAAAATTACTAAATTTTACACTTGAAACTAATATTATACTGTATGTGAACTAACTGGAATTTAAATAAAAACTTGAGGGGCTCCTGGGTGGCTCAGTTGGTTAAGCGTCGGACTTCGCCTCAGGTCATGATCTCATGGTTTGTGGGTTCAAGCCCTGCGTTGGGCTCAGAGCCTGGAGACTGCTTCAGATTCTGTATCTCCCTCTCTCTCTCTGACCCTCTGCTGCTCACACTGTCTTTCTGTCCCTCAGAAATAAATAAAACATTTGAAAAATTAAATTAAGTTAAATTAAAATAAAATAAAAATTAAAACGAGAAAAATTAAAGTTCTAGTTCTTGACTTTTGTTGCCTCATCTCTTGTGACTTCCCAGAAACCTCTCTGACTTCCATTTCCTCAGTATGCTCTGTTCTGTTATGCTGCGAAGCCTTTGCAATTTCTGAGTCCATTGAGTGTACCCCCTTCCCATAACTTGTCTGCTAATCTTATTCATTATTCAAGATCAATTCAAGTATGTCTTCTTTGGGAAACTTTCTCAGATGATTGTTCTTTCTTCTCTTTTGGGGCAAAAGTTGGGTCTTCCCAAATTTACCTGTAAATATACCTAGTTTAAAACATAGCATTATAATTCTGGCTTGACTAATCATGAGATTCTTGAGTTCAATGACTATTTTCTAGTCCCCTTGAAGTACCAGTGCTTGGCACAGAGTGGACAGTAAAATGATGATGTAATGTTTCTTTATTCTATGGATAGAAAAGGAGGGATGATGGGTGAATAATTTTGTGCCTTATGTCCTTCCAGCTTGGAAGACAGTATGAGCTCTTTGCTGTGGTTGCCCATGTCGGGGCAGCTGACTTTGGTCATTACTGTGCTTATATCCAGAATTCTGTGGATGGAAAATGGTTCTGCTTCAACGACTCCAATGTTTGTTGGGTGAGGAACATTGTCCAAAATTTCCTCTTGTCCTGGATTAACCACTTCTAATAACTTATGAGCCCAGGACTAGATGGGTCCTTAAGGTCAGGACATATTGTGGGCCTGTTGTGTGTGTGCAAGCCCTTAAACAAGACATTTTCTTTACAAAAAAATTTTTATTCAACTATAGTTGAAACAATGTTATATTAGTTTCAGGTGTATAATATAGTGATTCAACAAGTTTATACATTATACTATGCTCACCACAAGTGTAGCTTACCTACCATCTATCATCATACAATACGATCACAGTATCATTGACTATATTCCTTATGCTATGCTTTTTATTCCTGTGACTTATTCATTACATAACTGGAAGCCCATATCCCATTCTTCTTCACCCATTTTGCCCATCTCCCACCCCTTACCCTCTGCCAATCATAAATTTGTCCTGTGTATTTATAGGTCTGATTCTGCTTAAAGTCCTTTCTTGCATGTATAGCCCTGTAAGAGTCCACTGAGCTCATTGTCTAGGTTTTTGGTGTTCTAGGCTCAGTGCCCTGTAGCTTCATACTCTGTGGGAAACTTATAGAGAGCCAGAAGAGTTAAATATATGTAAGTTATAACCAAGCATAGCCAAAAATAGAGGGGCCAGGGCACTAAAAGAGTCTTCATAGACATGGCATCCTATCACTGGATGATTCAGGTCTTGGGAAGTACTAGGGAGGGGTTTGTCTTGATGAGTGATGGAGGGTAAATTGTAGCACTCTACTCGGGATGCTTAACATATGTGAGCTGGATACTTCACGTCATCTGTTTATGTACTTCCAGGTATCCTGGGAAGACATCCAATGTACTTATGGAAATCATAACTGCCGCTGGTAAGAGAAATGTTTGAGTGATGGGAACCCAGTGAGTTTTCACAGTATGAGTTTCACAGTATGAAACTCTCATGAATTCAGCTGCCACTTATATTTGGATAGCTCCTCAGTGACTAATTGTTCAGCCTCATCTCTCAATACCCATCTTACCATACCATGCTTTTTTCACAATTTAGATTCCAACAATACTAAACTACAAGTAGCTCTCCAAACATCATATCTTCCATGGTTTTGCACATGCAGTTCCTGATCTGTTTTTCCTCTCCTAATTTATTATTGAGGCAAACTCCCACCATGCTTTAATGTCTCTGCTCATGGCTTTTCCTACTCTATAAAGGCTTCACTGATTGACCCCAGCAGATTTGTAGGGGCTTCTTGTATGCTTGATCTGTACTGTAAGCATACCTCATTTATAGCAAAGACCTCCCTGTTTTGTAATAGTTTGCATATATAACTTTCTTTTAAATTAGACCATGGACTTTTTGGGAATAAGAATCATTCCTTTTTCTTTGTCTGGTACAGTGGCTTGCATTTAGTAAATAGTTATAAATATATTAAAAAAAATCAACAACTGCAGAGGGAAAGCTAGAGGTGAAAAAAGCTAGATGAAGTTAAAGCAGAGACTTTGTAAGTTTTTTCAGTTGAGTTTCTGGGTTGCGGTGACATTGTACACCAAAGGTGATATTTGAAATTATTTCAGCTAAGTAGGACTGATCATTTGAAAAATAATGAGTTAGGTGAAATTTGTGTTTTAAATTCTCTTACAATCTTCTACTTTTTAGCTTTTCTTCTGAACATCCCCCTTAGATGCCCACTCTTTGTCACTTTCTAGTTGTCAGTGATTCTCCAATTATTTATATCAGAGTTTGGCAAACTTTCTCTGTAAAGGGCCAGAGAGTAAATATTTCAGGCTTTATGGGCCATTCAGTCTCTGTTATAACCACTCAACTCTGCCCTTGTAGCACAAAAGCAGCCACAGATGACACATGAATGAATGAGTGTGGCTGTGTTCCAGTTAAATTCATTTGCAAAAACAGGGTTAGATTTGGCTTGTGGGCAGGTAGTTTGTCACCCCCTGATAGAGATGTTAACTAAGAGAAGCTTAGTGGATATTTTCCCAGGTTACCCATTTTGTTCCGCTCTGAGGTGATGGATAAATGAAGACTTGATTCAACAACCAGAAACTTTTCTGATGCTTGGCTTTTCATGAGTTAATAATGTATCAGTTAACTGTGAATGTTCCATTTCTGTTATGTTGCCTTTTTTTTTTATTTCTAGGCGGGAAACTGCATATCTTCTGGTTTACATGAAGATTGAATCCTAATGGATGTACCCTAAACTGTCAGAGGCTGACAGAGTTTCATTTTCCTTTTCTATCCCTGAATCTGCTGACTCTCAAGAGATTTTGCAGTGTGAAGGATCATTTGCAAATTGTATAGTTAAACTTTATTTATAATCAGGGTTGATTATCAAAATATTTAGCAGTAATTCTGCATGGGTCTTGATCAGTCAGAATAGATACTTCCACTGGCCAATGGCTACAGCTGGGACCTGAGTGCTCCCTGCTGTGGAAGGCATTAATCCTTTAGTTAAGAGAGTACAGGGGTCGCAGTGCTCCCATGGGAGGAGAAACCAGGCCAACAATGGTAGTGGGGCATTCAGGTGGCAAGGGGCAGTGGTAGAGAGGTATTAAACAATTTTGGAACCCATATTAGTTTAATAAAAGTCAAGTGTTTTGTAATTGTTATTCATTCGTTTGACATATATGTATTGATCACCTACTCAATAAGCTGGTGTGCTAGGCACCATAATGAATAAAGTTCTTTTTCTTCAAAGGAATTTTTGGTTTATTGAGGGGGTGATTAAAACACATAAGATACTGAGGGTTGTGCTACAGGAGTTCAAAGTAAAGTGAAATACTTCTATTTTGGGGCCATGTGATAAGCCATAAGGCTGGAAAGGAGGTTAGGATGGAGGACAGTCTATTTACAGGGATAAATATTCACAATGGCATGACTAAAAAAGGCAAAGCTCAGGGTTCAAAGATTATACACAAACGTGGCTTTCCTCTACCAAGGAAGCGGTGGTGCAATATTGATAAGGATGGATGGTTGATGGGGCTCAAAATGTAGAGGGTCTCGAACTACTATGAACTACTGGATCAAATTTAATAGGTAATGAAGAACTGTTGAAGGGGTTCAGAAAAGAAAGGAAAATTTAATGGTATTTTGATAAAATAAATCTCCTGGGCGATGGCAACATGAATTAGAGACAGAGACGGTAGTATGAAGGGAAAGGTGGTGTTAGTCACTAGAGCCATTTTGGAGGAAGAATGGATGTGAGCAGTGAAAGAAGGGTCCAAGGAGACTCTAATACCAACCTAGAAAGTGAGCAGGGTAATCCCTATTTTACAGATGAAGCAACTGAGACGTTCATATGTTTAATGACTTGCTCAAGATTTCATACTTGATAAGTGGTGGAGCCAAAGCTTCCAACATAAAATGTGGATAATTTCTTTATTATCTTATTTTTATTGGCAAAAAATTAGCCATGCAGTAATAAATTCTCACTATAAATATTCAAACAATATAGAAATATATAGAATCTCTTCCTTATAGCTAGCCATTGTTAAATAAGTATATAACTAGCTTCCTAGCACTGCCATAACAAACTATTATCACAAAATGGATGACTTAAAACAACAGAAAATTTTCTGTCTCACAATTTAGGAGGCCAGAAGTTCAAAGTCAAAGGTATTGGCAAGGTTGGTTCCTTCTGGAGCCTCTGAAGGAGAGTCTGTTCCATGCTTCTCTTCTAGTTTCTGGTGGTTTCCAGCAGTCCTTGTCATTCATTCACCTGTAGCTAATGTCACAGTCTCTGCCTCTATCTTCACATAGCTTTTATCCCTGTATGTCTTACATGGGTTTTGTTTAGGTACACCAGTCATTGGATTTAGGGCCCATGCTAATCTACTGTGATATCATTTTTACTTGGCTAATTTTATTTTTTTAAAAATAGTTTATTGTCAAATTGGTTTCCATATACCACCCAGTGCTCATCCCCACAAGTGTCCTCCTCCATGCCCATCACCACCCTTCCCCACCCACCCACCCCCAACAACCCACAAATTGTTCTTGGCATTCAAGAGTCTCTCATGGTTTGCCTCCCTCCCTCTCCCCCACTATTTTTCCCCTTCTCCTCCCCCATGGTCCTCCATTAAGTTCCTCCTAACCCACCTATACATGCAAACATATGGTATCTGTTCTCTGCCTGACTTATTTCGCTCAGCATAACACCCTCAAGTTCCATCCATGATGCTACACATGGCCAGATTTCATTCTTTCTCATTCCCATGTATTCCATTGTATAGATAAACCACATCTTCTAGATCCATCCATCAGTTGATGGACACTTAGGCTCTTTCCATGTTTTGGCTATTGTTGAGAGTGCTGCTATGAACACTGGGGTACATGTGCCCCTAGGCATCAGCACTCCTGTATCCCTTGGGTAAATTCCTAGCAGTGCTATTGCTGGATCATAGGGAAGTTCTATTGTTAATTTTTGAAGAACCTCCACACTGTTTTCCAGAGGGGCTGCACCAGTTTACATTCTCACCAACAGTGTAGGAGGGTGCCCATTTCTCCATATCCTCACCAGCATCTAGAGTCCTCTGATTTGCTCATTTTAGCCACTCTGACCAGCATGAGGTGGTATCTCAGTGTGGTTTTGATTTGTATTTCCCTGTTGAGGAAGGATGCTGAGCATCGTTTCATGTGTCTGTTGGCCATCTGGATGTCTGTCCTCTTTGGAGAAGTGTCTGTTCATGTCTTCTGCCCATTTCTTCACTGGATTGTTTGTTTTTCAGGTGTGGAGTTTGGTGAGTTCCTTATAGATTTTGGATACTAACCCTTTATCTGATATGTCATTTGCAACTATCTTTTCCCATTCCGTCGATTGCCTATTAGTTTTATGGATTGTTTCCTTTGCCGTGAAGAAGCTTTTAATCTTGATGAGGTCCCAGTAGTTCATTTTTGCTCTTGATTCCCTTGCCTTTGGGGATGTATCAAGTAAGAAACTGCTGCAGTTGAGGTCAAGGAGGTTGTTTCCTTACTTGGCTAATTATATCTGTGAAGACTCTATTTCTATATTAGTTCACATTCTAGGGTTCTAGGAAAACATGAATTTTTGTGGGACACTACTCAATGCAGTAAAAGGTGTGTATCTCACTAGGCCATTTTTTTTGCATACTTATGCATGACATAATTTTTACATAGTATCACATATATAATTTTTACATAATATAATAAGTTATTCACTTAACAATGTCTTAGAAAATCTCCTTGGAAAAGTTGTTGCATTTAATTACATAGACAGAGACACTATATTTTTTTGATCCTCATATTGGTGAATGTTTAGGGCATTTCCATTTCTTCAGTATTTAAAAAATGCAGAGTGGGGGCGCCTGGGTGGCTTAGTCGGTTAAGCGTCCGACTTTCGCTTGGGTCATGATCTCGCGGTTCGTGGGTTCGGGCCCCGCGTCGGGCTCTGTGCTGACTGCCAGCTCAGAGCCTGGAGCCTGTTTCAGTCTGTCACTCCCTCTCTCTATGACCCTCCCCTGCTCACGCTGTCTCTCTCTCTCTCTCCTAGAAATAAATAAAAAAAAAAAAAGAAAATTATAAAAAATGCAGAGTGAATGGCTATCTTTAGACATATTTTTGTGCATGTATAAATACTTTTTGTAGGTACTGAGAAGTGAAATTATTAGGCCAAGGAGATGGATATCTAAATTGCTAAATTGACTCCAATTAAAAAAACAATTACTTTTTTAAGGCTTCTTTAGCTTCAAGTTTTAATTTAAATTCCAGTTAGTTAACATACATGTAGTATTAGTTTCCAGTGTAGAATTTATGATTCATCACTTATATACAGCACCCAGTGCTCATCACAAGTGCCCTCCTTAATACCCATCACACATGTAACCCATTCCTCCATGCATCTCCTTTCTAGTAATCCTCTTTGTTCTCTATCATTAAGAGTCTGTTTTCTGGTTTGCCCCCACAGGCTTCTTTTTTTCCTCTATGTTCATCTGGTTTTTAAAAATATGTTTATTTTTTAGTGTTTATTTTTTATTTTTGAGAGAGAGCATGAGTGGGGGAGGGAGGTATAGAGGATCCTAAGTGGGCTCTGTGCTGACAGCACTGAACCTGTCATGGGGCTCAAACTCATGAACCATGAGATCACGAGCTTAGCCAAAGTCAGATGCTCAACCAACTGAGCCACCCAGGTGCCCTTGTTTTGTTTCTTAAATTCCACATATGGGTGAAATCATATGGTATCTTGTCTTTCTCTGACTTATTTTGCTTAGCATAATTCTCTCTAGCTCCATCCACCTCACTGCAAATGGCAAGATTTCATTCTTTCTGATGGCTGAGTAATATTATAGTGTGTATATATACACACATATATCTATATCTGTAATCTATATATGTCTATCTCTACCTATCTCTATCTATATATACCACATCTTCTTTATCCATTCATTAGTTGATGCACATTTGGGCTCTTTCCATAATTTGGCTATTGTTGATAATGCTGCTATAAACATCAGTGTGCATGTATCCCTTTAAATCAGTATTTTGTTTCCTTTGGGTAAAAACCTAGTGGTGAAATTGCTGTATTGTAGGGTAGTTATATTTTTAACTTTTTGAGGAAACTTCATACTGTTTTCCAGAGTGGCTGCACCAGTTTGCATTCCCTCCAACACTGTAAAAGGTTTCCCCTTTCTCTGCATTCTTGCTAACATCTGTTGTTTCCAGTGTTGTTAATTTTAGCATTTTGGCAAGTGTGAGGTGATATCTCATTGTAGTTTTGATTTGTATTTCCCTGATGATGAGTGATATTGAGCATCTTTTCGTGTGTCTGTTAGCCATCTGTATGTGTTCTTTGGAAAAGTGTCTATTCATGTCTTCTCCCCATCTTTAAATTGGATTATTTGTTTTTTGAGTGTTGAATTTTATATATTATTTATATATTTTGGATACTAACCCTTGCAAATAGCACATCTGATAAGGAGTTAGTAACACCAGTTACTTTTCAAGTTTTAACTTTTGTCATTTTGAAAAGTCTCATTGATTAAATTTGATCTTCATAGATTATTAATACAGTTGAGCATTTTTCCATGTACTTATTGGCCATTCATTTTTTCCTTTTGTGAAATTTTTGTGATGTCATTTGTCCTTGTTGTGGTGTTTGCCTTTTTAAAACATTGATTTGTTGGAATTGATTTTTTTCATGCTTATTTATTTTAAGAGAGAGAGAGCGAGCATACATGTGTACATGTGCACGTGACTGGGAGAGGGGCAGCGAGAGAAGGAAAGAGAGAATTCCAAACAGCCTCTGCCCCTCAGTGCAGATCCCAACATGGGACTCAGTATCACTAACCATAAGATCATGACCTGAGATGAAATCAAGAATGGGATTCTCAACCAACTGAGCTGCACAGACTCCCTGATTTGTCAGAGGTTTTTTTTTTTTTTTTTTTTTTTTTTAACATTTATTCAGTTTTTGAGAGATAAAGAGAGACAGTACAAGCGGGGGAAGGTCAGAGAGAGAGGGAGACACAGAATCTGAAACAGGCTTCAGGCTCTGAGCTATCAGCACAGAGCCCAACATGGGGCTTGAACTCATGAACAGTGAGATCATGACCTGAGCTGAAGTCAGACACTTAACTGACTAAGCCACCCAGGCGCCCCGGTCAGAGTTTTTATATATTTTGCATAATAATTTTATCTATAACATTTGGCAGATATTTCTTCACATTCTGTTGCTTGGACCTTATT